TCACGATCAGGAAAATAAGAACCAGAGAGAATGTACAAGAGATAGGGCATTTGCCTTGCACGTGGCCAACCTGGGTTCAATCTCCAGCATCACATATGGTCCCCCAAACCTGCCAGGAGTGATTCCCTGCACTATTAGGTGTGGCCCCAAACAAAACAAGTTCAGGAGAGTACAGTGATATCGCCACTGGCACTGATGTTGCTCAGTGTCCGCCTCTAAAATAAAAGACAAAATAAAACAAAATTTAATTAGGGGCTGGAGTAATAATATAGGTGTTCGATCATCCCATAGGGTCCCCCAGCACCGCCATGAATGATCCCTGAGTGTAGAGCCAGGAGTGATCTCTGAGCACCACTGGGTACGCCCCTCCCTCCAAAAAGCCCCCCCCCCGAAATTTAATAAATTATTGAAAACTAAAATGAAATAAAATGAAAACAAAATAAAGGAACATGAAATATGAGGTAGGAGCCATAATGCAGCAAGGAAGGCACTTGTCTTGCACAAGGCCGATAGATGTGATTCCCAGCACCGTTGCCAGGAGTGCTCTCTGACCTACCCCCTGCCCCTGCACCCGCTGGGGCCCTACCCTGACCGACCACCTCCCCCTACCCCCCACTGAGCCCTGACACTGATCGACACCCCCTCCACCCTCTCAGCGGGAGGCATGTGTGACTGCGCAGATTTCCCAGGGGAAACTAAGGCCCAGTAGCCACAGAGATGAGGGTTCCGGCTGCCCCCACAGCTTCAGCCTATCTATACCGCCCCTCCAACCCGAAATCAGCCCCTCCCTGCAGCTCCCTGAGGGACCTTTTCTCAGCCAGTGGAGGGGGTCCTACAGCAGCATGGGGACCACTCCTGGCACTTGGGGAGAGGCACAGGGGGGTGGAAAAAGGTGCAGCAAATGCATGCGGAGGAGTGAGAACCACCCCCTGGGGTGAAGTCAGCAGCAGTGGCAAGGGGCGGTGGGTGGGAGGGATGAGTGGCCGAATCCTGCCAATGATCTCGGGTCTCAGGGAGCACAGGGCAGAGAAGTGCCCTGCACGGGAAGTAGAAATAGCAGCGTGTGCATGGGGGCAGGGCAGGTCGGTCCGGGCTCAAGTGCTCATGTCCCCCCACCCCCACCCCCGGCACCCAGTGAACAGGCCCTAGACCAGGACCTGGGATCGGATAGCACCGCCTCTCCAGGGGGACCCCCAAGGGAAGCAGCGGCAGGGGCGGAGCATGGCGGGAGCTCGCCCAGTGCGGGCTGGCCTCTGCTCCACAGCCAGGGGCTTCACTTGGGGTAGGGGTGATGCAGGCAGGCAGAGAGGGAAGACCCCTCCCAAGGCAGTGGCAGCAAATTTCCTGGGAAATAACAGCCCTGAAGTTTCGAAAGCCAACCTTGCAGAACACAGGAGCTAAGACCAGATAATACTCTCACCTGGCCAGCAGAGAGGGCTGGACCCCCTCCCAGAGACTCCAGCAGGAACAAAAGGCCAGGAAAGGAATTTCAAAGAAGATCATCACCACTCCCATCCCTACTCCCCTCAGCAACCCCCTTAGCAAGGGGCTTTTACCTAGGTAGAAACCCCACCTGGGGGCAGGTTGGAAAAACCCTATAAAAGCCACCTTGAGCAAAGGAAAGGTGCATATGCTGCCCGAGCCCAGGTGCTGCTTGCACCCATGTGGCCGAGCACATGTGTCGCCAGAGTGGGTGTGTCGCCCGCATCTTCCCTCTTGAGATGGGGACTTTCAGGCTTTCGTGTCTAATGCTGGATGTGTGTAGGGCTCTCTTCGTCCTTGGAGAAGGCCTCTCTGGAGCATCACTCTCTCTCCCTTCTCCCCTTCAAAAACCTCCAAATAAGGACTCACTCGGGATGCGAGATGCATGCTGAAAGTAGACTACAGACGGAACACGATGGCCACTCAAAACCTCTATTGCAAACTACAACACGCTAAAGGAAAGGGAGAGCAAAAGGGAATGCCCTGCCACAGAGGCGGGGTGGGGGGGTGGGGTGTGGAGGTGGGAGGGCTACTGGGATCCTTGGTGGTGGAAAATGGACACTGGTGGAGGGATGAGTACTCGATCATTGTATGACTGAAACCCAAGCATGAAAGTTTGTAAGTCTACAACTGTGCCTCATGGTGTTTCACTAAAAAAAAAAAAAAAAAAAAAAAAAAAAAAAAAACTCCAAATAAAATCTGTTTTACTTCACAGCTCCTCTACTCCTGAAATTCTTTTCAAGGGGAGACAAAAACCCCGTAACCCTGGGTCGCGGGAGGGAGAAGCGGATGGGGAGGAAGTGGTCGTCTTTTTCCCTCCTGGTTTTACATAAGCCACCCGGTGCCCACCAACATCAGGGGGGGAGCCCTGAAGGGCACATCCCCGAGGGACAAAGGCAACAGGAAGCCCTGGGGGTCTCTCCTGCAGAGCGGTATAGCATCTGCACCCCGCGGTGGTGATGGAAGGAGCACACCCGTTACCCAAGGGAACCCCCTAAAAGGGCCGGACCATGGGGGTCCAACTTCCACTTCCTTCTGGGTTTTGGGGTACCCTCCCAAGCTCGTCCCCAAGTGGAGCCACTGAGAGGAACTGCCGCCCCCATACAGAGAGTATAGGGGAGCACTGGGCGCTGAGCTGCTCATAGGACCCATTGGGGGAACCCGTGCCTTGTCTGACACCTTAGGGGTGCTGCACAGAAGGGGTAGGAAGCACCCCTGAACACCCGTGCCTCTCCAGGGGTCGCCTCTTGGCCTCCTCCAGGACCCAGGGCAGCCAGCCTCAAGCCAGGGATGTCAGCTGGGTGAGCAGGTCCCACTTAGGGCCAAGGCCAGCTCGTGGCCCTGGCCCCAGCCTCTAGGAAATGTGCTCCTGTGATGACATGTGCAGGGGTTGGGAAATGTTCTCCCGCCAACATCCCAGCGGCTCTGGGAAATGCAGTTCTCACACTGTGGGCGGGGTTCCGAGCTGTCTGAGCAGGAGCTGAGCGGGGTCCACTGGGTTCCCAGTGTAGGAATGTGTGAACGGGTGATGGCAAAGCCCCCATTTTAATGCAACTATGCAACAAACACACAGTTTCTCCCATCCCTATGTTCACGGATCATTTTCGCCATTATTAACATCCTGTTTCAGAGCGGCGGTCTTTTTTAAATGGTGGACGCTTACACAGATCTGTCATAGTCTCCCAAAGTGGACACTGTCCCTTCGAGATGGTGTATGTATTCTGCGGCCTCCGACCTTGGAGAATCACAGAGGGGGCTACAAGTACAGAGCCATCAGTGAGTCCTGAGTGCAGAGCCAGGGGACGCCATGAGCACTGCCTGGTGCGATCATAAAACCGAACCAAATATTGGTGCGGAGGCACCTCCCAGTGGAGCCGACGGTGCAGGATCACCTGTCACCTTCAGAAGTCTGGGCTCAAGGGGGCTAAAACGCAATGGAATTCATGGCTCCCAAGGATTGAGGGCCTATGAAGATGGAGGGTCCTTGGAAGGTCACACAGTCCGGTTCCCCAGCAGCAGTGTAGGGTGTGGAGTGGACGTCAAATGGGGCATGTTTGTGGCCATTCATGGCTCAGCTGCAGCGACGTGCAGGGGTCTGGGGGCTTCTGAGAAGGCAGGAGCCTGGTGACGCTGCAGTTCCTGGAATAGCCCCGTGGGGCGCTCAAGAGCCAAGACCCAGCAGGCCCTGCCCCAGGGGCGCCCTCTGCTCCCCACAGGCTGCTAAGGGCCAAGCATCTGTCCCTGCCCAGCCTCTCCAGGCAGGGATTTCACACAAAAGGTGCAGGGAGGGGGCTGCGCGTGGGAACAGGAGCTCCTGGCCCAGGTCCCAGGACCCGCCACCAGGTACCTCCCCAGGAGGGGCCTGGTGACCCCGGAAGGGGACCCCGCGCTGATTGGAGGATCCAGGGCCAGGCCAGGTCCCATCTCTGGGCTGTGGGAGGGCGGGAGGGGGTGGCACCCGGAGACAGGAGGAGCTGGGGAGAGGCAGAGGCAGAGGAGAGAGGGGGGCGGGGAATGGGGGTGCACCCAGGCTCAGGGGGAGAGCAGGGGAGGGCAGCCCCTCAGACACAGGGTCCCGTGGACGGGCAGGCAGCCCTTGCACCGTCTGCAGACACTTGAGGGGTTCAGGCACCGGGGGCCTCCTGGGGACAGGGGACCTCAGATAAGTCCCTGTCTGACCATGGATGCCCAGGAGCAGGGGGAGGCGGGGAGGACCCGGACGGGGAGAGTGGGCAGCAGTGCATGGCCAGCAAATGCTTCCTCCGCTTGGAACCCCACCTGCAAGCAGGGTGAGTAGAGATTGCAAGGGTCTGGGGGCAGCTGCTGTGCCCCTGGGCTCCTGGGGAGGGGGGTGTTGCACTTCCGCAGATCCATGTGGAGCTCAGAGGTGAGTGTGGGAGCCCCGCTGGCCTGAGTCTGGGATAGTCTGTGCGGGGAGCACAGGCGGTCTCGGGGTACGGGGAGGCCACCCCAGCTTCCTCCATCCCGGCCCCACTGCCAGCTCTGTCCTGCCCTCTGAGCTGGGGTTCAGATTCGGGGGAAGGAGTGGGGGTCCCGAGAAGACCGGGACCAGGGACAGGGCCCCGTGGCACCTCAGCAGCCAACACCCCCTTTTCTCAGGCTGGTTCCCAGGTGTCCCCTTTCCTCTAGCCGCCCCGGCACTCAGACTAATTAGAGCAGGGGCTTAGGGCACTGCAGGGCGGGGGGCCGCCCGCTTTCCCAGGGGTTCAAGTTCCTGCAGCCCAGCCCAAGCCAGGATGGTTGGGGAGGAACGGGGTGGGGGGGCACTAAATGGGAGACCAGGTGCCTCATTTCCCCAGGGAAAGGGAGTGGGTCAAGGTACAGCGACCCCAGAAGAGGGAGGAGTGGGGGGAGGTCAGAGACGAGAATGGAGTATTGTGAGGGTTGGGGTACGGGGGAGACCTCAGGGAGAATGGGGGTGGTGATCTGATGTGGGGTGATCTCAGGGGTGTGGCAGAGGTGTGAGACCTGGTAAGACCAGGGGCCCGGATCAGAAGATGGGTACCGGGTGGGTACGGCACTGACTAGGGCCTCAGGAGCGGGCTGAGGATCGCATGGAGCGCTGAGGGGTGCAGGAGCTGGAGAATTCTGTTGGGGTGAGTTGGGACAAGTGAGAGCCTCTGAGGGAAATTGTGGGGCAGAGTCAGGACCCAGAACAGAACTGGAGATGGAGCCAAACAGGGTTTAGAGTGGGGCAGCGAGATGGGCCCCCACACTCTCTCTCCACCCTCCAGACAGGACCCTCTCCAGGGGGGCTGCAGGAGGACCCCCGGGGCGCTGTCCCCCAGCCACTCAGAGGGGGCACCCCACCTCCCGCCGCCGCCACCGCACCACCTTCAGCCCTGGCCAACTGCAGCAGCTGGAGGCGGCCTTCAGGGGGAACCAGTACCCTGATGTCTGGGCCCGGGAGGGCCTTGCCCGTGACACCGGCCTCAGTGAAGCCAGAATCCAGGTGAGGCGCCGAGCAAGACACTCGGCTGTGAGCCTGGGAGTCAGTGTCATTTCTGGGATTCCCCCCTACACCCAGCATTAGGCACGGCTTAGCGTCTTCGTGTCCCGGGACCCCTGGCTCTCCCTGACTTTTCCAGGAGGCTCAGTAGTGACCTCTAGCTCAGGGCAGCAGGACCCCCCAAGCTGAGCTTTATCACCCCCCACCCCCAGGGGACCCTCTGGATCACCTAAATTCACTGCCTCCTGGGATTTGCACCTCTCAATCATGTTCCCCAATCTGCATCTCCCCTCCCTCTGGGGCAAGGCCTCTCAGACCGTCCTGTCTACATCCTCCTCACTTTCAAGCCAGGTGGGGGGACGCGATCACCCCCTTTCCCCCCACCGAGTCGCGCGCCCTCCCTGGTTCTTCCCCGCTGGCTAATCTGACCTTTCTCTACCCAGGTCTGGTTCCAGAACCGCAGGGCCAAGCAGAGGAAGCAGGAGAGGGTGCTGCCGCCACCCCCGCACCCCGCCTCCCCGGTCCCTTTCTCTGGGCTCCTGCCCCCCGCCCCTGCAGTCCCCTGCTGCTCCCCAGTGACCCCCGCCCCCGGGGCCTGTGGCCTGGGTCCACCGGGTTGTGGCTGTGCCGTCTCCTCCCAGCCCGGCCCCGCGCCTGCCCTGGCGAGACCCCTCCAGGCTGAAGACTGGTACCCCGGCTGGGCTCCGGCCTCCGCAGGCCACCTGCCCTGCCCCCCGCCTGCAGCCCTGCTCCCCCTTATCCTGGAATCCCCAACGTCCTGGAACTAAGTTTTCAAGGGTCCTGCTCAGTTGCTGTCACCAAGAACCCCAGCGCACCCAGGCTGGCATTTGAGCAATGGGGACATTGATGTCTGCGGGCATCCCACACCCTTTCTGTGGGCATTCCACACAGCCTGCCCATGGGTACCCACTGCCTGTGGCACGCCATTCACTGCTCGTGTTCTGTTGCTTGGCTGAAGAGGTAACAGGAGAAGGTTTCCGCTCCCTTTCCTGGCGCTGCTCTTCTGGAACCCTGTGGAATTTCCTGGAGAATCTGCCCTCATATCACCTTGCTCAACGGAATCTTCTGGCCCAAGGGGTCCTGAGAGCGTCTTCCTGAGCCACATTTGCAGACGGACTCACAGAAGGCCTAGAACCTTCTCCCCACCCGTGAAGTTGCTTCCCTCTTTCCCACTCCCACTCACCACTGTCCTGCCTTCCTTCCCTCACGAATTAGAATTATGAATGTGCCTGAGCGATAGTACAGCACTTGCCATGTCTGCAGCCAATCTGGGTTTGATTCCCAGCACCCCAGATGGTTCCCAGAGCTCGCCAGGGAGATTCCTGTGTGGAGAGCCAGGAGAAAGCCCTGAACACCACCAGGTATGACCCCCGCCAGAAAAAAAACAAAAACAAAATTAGAATTATGAATATCTTCCCAATGTACAACTTCCTCATCCAAGGAAGATGAGTCCTGTCATTTTGTAAAACATACCTGAGAATTCTCTTGGAAGTCAAATCTTAATATGGCTCTCAGAATAAAAAGAAAAGGGACGGATAGGTCAAGGTGCTGTGCCCCTCCCCTGACCCCACTACTGTTCCCGGACCCCAGCTCTTCTCTGCCTCCTCACCCGCCATCACACCCCCGGGCCATCCCAGGAACCTGCAGCCACACCTGCCCTCAGTTCATTTCCTGCGCCTGCGCTCCCTGGGCCTCCCCCGTGCCCTGCACTTCACAATCCTCCTGTCTGACCCCCACTCCTCCCTCTCTAGTCACTGCACCTTGACCCACTCGACCCATCCCTGGGAAGATGAGGCTCCCCCTCTTCTGCTCAACCCCCCCCAATTCCATGCCTACCAGCCAGGCCTGGATTCGGCTACAGGAACTTGAACCCCTGGGAAAGTTGGAGGCCCCTCGCCCCACACACCCTAAGCCCCCATACTAATTAGTCTGAGAGCTGGGGCGGCCGGAGGAAAGGGACACCGAGGAACCAGCCGAGCTAAAGAAACCTTGGCTGCCGAGCTCCCTCCGGGGACATGCCTGGGAGATGCCTGTGTCCTCCCCCAAATGTAGACCCCAGCTCGCTTCTCCCGGAGGACACTTTAGTTGCCAGCAGGGAGGCAGCTTGGGGTACCTCTCCAGGTACCTGCCTGCCACAGCATACCCTCACCCTGCTTGCAGGTGGGGGTCCAGGTAGCAGGGGATTTGCTGGCGACAAATGCTGCCCTCTCTCCCTTTCTGGGTCTTCTCTGGTTCCCCCTGACCCTGGGCATCCATGATAAGGATAGACACTGCCTGGACAGAGACTGCTCCTGTCCCCGGGAGCCATCCCCAACCCTGGAGCCCGAAGCCCTCAAGTCTGCAGGAGGTGCAGGGGCTGCCTGCCCATCCTGGGGACCCTGTGTCTGAGGGGCTGCCCTCCCCTGCTCTCCCCCTGAGCCTGGGTGCACCCCCATTCCCCGCCCCCTCTCTCCTCTGCCTCTGCCTCTCCCCAGCTCCTCCTGTCTCCGGGTGCCACCCCCTCCCGCCCTCCCACAGCCCAGAGATGGGACCTGGCCTGGCTCTGAATCCTCCAACCAGCGCGGGGTCCCCTTCCGGGGTCACCAGGCCCCTCCTGGGAAGGTACCTGGTGGCGGGTCCTGGGACCCGGGCCAGGAGCTCCTGTTCCCACGCGCAGCCCCCTCCCTGCACCTTTTGTGTGAAATCCCTGCCTGGAGAGGCTGGGCAGGGACAGATGCTTGGCCCTTAGCAGCCTGTGGGGAGCAGAGGGCGCCCCTGGGGCAGGGCCTGCTGGGTCTTGGCTCTTGAGCGCCCCACGGGACTGGTCCAGGAACTGCAGTGTCACCAGGCTCCGGCTTTATCTCTTTTTTTCCGGTGGGATGGGGGTTGGGGCTGGTTTTTACTCACCTCTATTCACTTTTCTGTAACTAGAAAAGATGTGATAAGGGGAGAAAGCTCGAAAAACAGAAAGATCGAAAGGTCAGAAGGGAGAGGTCGTGAGTGGGAAGTGAGGGAGAAGGAAAGAGATGAGTAAGGGGTGCATGCATCCCCAGACTTGTGGCTAGGGAAACTGAGGTTCCAAGAATATAATACGTGCCCAGGGACTCAGACCTAGGAGGAATAGGAGTATTAGTAGCTCCATTTAGAAGTGAACACCTGGGCTGGAGTGATAGCACATCGGGTAGGGCATTTGCCTTGCATGCAGCCAACCCAGGTTCGATTCCCAGCATCCCATATGGTCCCCTGAGTTCAGAGCCAGGAGTAACCTCTGAGCATCGCCGGGTGTGACCCAAAAAGTAAAAAATAAATAAACAAATAAAAATGAACTCCTGGGACCAGAGCAATAGAATAGCAGGTAGGGTATTTGCCTTGCATGCGGCTGATCCAGGTTCAAGTCCCAGCATCCCATATGGTCCCCCAAGCACCACCAGGAGTGATTCCTGAGTGAAGAGCCAGGAGTAACCCCTGAGCATCGCCAGGTGTGACCCCAAAAAAAGAAAAAAAATTTTTGAAACACCTTGGGACCAGAATGATAGTACAGTGGGCAGGGTGCTTGCCTTCTGTGCGGTCCACCCAGCACCCCAAATGATTCCCCAAGTCTGCTAGGAGCGATCCCTGAGTTCAGAGCCAGGATTAAGCCCTGAGTACTGCTGGGCTTTTGCCTCTGTCCCCCCAAAAAATGTGAACAGTGAAAACCCTGAGAGCAAGAGCATGGAACAGGGGTTACGGCACTTGGCTTGCACACAGCCAACCCAGGTTCAGTCCTATGCGCCACTTATGGCCCCCTGAGCCTGGCCAGGAGCACAGAGCAGCGCGAAGCCCTGAACATCACCAGGTCCAGCCCCTAAAATGTAGAACATTCTCTGAAAATAGTTCCTTCAACAAGTACAGTAGAGACAAATGACATAGAGATGAAAAAAGACGAATGGCCAGAGGGATGACTCAGCCACTGAGACCCCCTTTGCGGCTGCGAAGCCTGGGTCTGACCTCACCCCAGTACCCTCAGGATTAACCTCCAAGCATAGTTTTGCGTGTCTCCCCAAGGAACAGGCCAGGAAAATACCTCAATGGGCTAACTGCAGGCTCTGCCTGCAGGAGACCCAGGTTCAACTCACACTACACACTCCCCTCTGCACAGAACCAGGAAAAATATCTGGGAATCTCCAAGGGTGGCGAAAACATAGGTACATAATCCATCCCCCAAATAAAAGGAGAAATAGAAGAAAGGAGACAATAAAAGCAGAACAAAGGTAGAAGCTGAGTCAGAGTACAAGTCCTTCAAGCCAGCTCCCGTTTCCTCAGAATCCCCCAGGTCCCTGCAGGGTCACTGCAGCTAACCTGAATACTGAGCATCCATAAACATTCCCTCACTTGGCTTCCAAATCCCACATCCTCCGCCCGGGAACTGGACTGTGACCTTCCACTGTGACCTGCCCTGGCCTATGTTCAGAGCTCCTGATGCTCACGAGCCCTGAATTCCATCACACTCCAGCGTTCCTGAGCTCAGGTTCCTGAGGGCGACTGAAAATCCTGTCCCAACAGCCCTCCTTGAGATATATACCCCCCCCTTTTTTTTTGTTTAGTTTTAGGGCCACTCTGGACTGTGTTCGTGGCTTCCTCCTAGCTCTGTGCTCAGACATCACTCCTGGCTTTGTCTCAGTTTGCAATGTGAAAATGGTACATATGCTGTGATGATAAATACGTTTCTATTCATTTACAGAGACCTTCGTTCTTCCTAGCTCATTTCAACCTTTCGATAATACGCCTCTTCACAGTGAGCACAGTTCCTCCTTTGGCGCAAGGCTGGAGGTTGTACAGTAGGTTCCCAGAGGTCGCCTACGCTTAACTATCCTTTAATCAAATACAGCTACCAGAAAGCACCCTCGGGAACGTGTCTTGCTGCTCTAGAAAGCGGGGACCCAGTCCTCATCCTAGTCTGAAAGCCAAGCGCTCTCTTTACCCAAGCCACAGTCTGAAGACTACATTTCCCAGAATCCCACGTTGCTCGCGGGACTGCGCCACCCAGAGGACTGAGCGGCCTCCGAGCCGTCCACGCCCCACTCCTGGGCCCTACGCGGACCGACGTCTTTTGAAACAGTGGGTGGTCTGGCTTTGTGGAAACCGGGAGGAAATCCTCCGCCCAAGGTTCCAAACCGACCTGCACAGATCAGTCATACCCTCCACGTTCCTATGCCAGAAACGCAGAGTACCCCCGCTCTGGAGCGAGACCCTCCAGCGCAAACGCCGCGTCTTAGTAAGCCGAGGACTACATTACCCAGAAGGCCTGGGCGATTATCATGGGACTACATTTCCCAGAAGGCCCGGGTGGTTACCATGGGACTGCGTTTCCCAGAAGGCCTAGGTGGTTATCACGGGACTACATTTCCCAGAGGCCCGAGCGGCCTGTGTCCTGCCCCGCCCCCCCGCCCCGCCCCTCTTGGCCCTGAGCTGAACGCGCTCTTGCAGCGATAGTGGCTCCAGGTGGGCCCTGGCGTTGCAAAGGCTGTAATTCCCCACGCCCCCACCTCCGACTCGAAGTTGCCGCCCAGCTTGGGCAGACACGACCCCCCCGGAGTCCCCAAGACCTGGGCCGGGTGAGCGGAGGAAGGTGGGCGCAATCGGGAGGGATGAGGCGCGCTGGGGCTGGGGACCAAGTGGCGCCTGCATAATATGCGGCTCCTGGAGCATCAGGGGGGCCCGCCCTGGGTAGGGGTTCGGGCGGGACAGGGGCCGCCCCCGGTCTGTGCACCGCCCCTGATGCGTCACGTGGGGCGCGGGGTCCCAGGTGTACCTGGCCCGCTAGCTAGCTTCGGTCGCTCGGACCAGGCACCTCCCGCCCCGCGGTATTTCTGTGACCTCTGAGAGCAAAGTGTTTTCTGCAGCCTGACCCTGTCTGTTCCCCGAGGAGGCGGTCGCCGAGCTGCAGCCCATACCCCGTGCACGTCTCGGCGTTCCCCCACCCCCCCGCCCCATCTACTCCCCAGGGTCGTGTGGACCGGACCAGTGCTCCTTTCCCGGGTGTTCCACCTGTGCTGCTCTGTAACGGGGTGCGGCAGTGCGGCTGGGTGGGGGCTTAGTCGTGGGGGCGTGCCTGGCCCCGTGTTCCCTGACTCCGCCGAGTGGGATCGGGATCCCCGAGGCCAGGCCCCGTGTGGGGTTCCCGTGTGCCGGGTGCTGCTCTCTCTCCGCTCGCCCGCGGTAGGGGTGCGCATTTGGGCTGAAGGGCTTTGACTCCTGGCCTTGTCCTGCAGGTCTCTGCCCCCCAGGCGTCCCCCTTCCACGAGCGGAGCTTATGGCTGCTGAGCAGAAACCGACTTGGGCCCAGGTGAGCCCCTGCTTCCGCGGGTCCCTTCCCACCGCCTTGCACCCTCGCGCCTCTCGAGAATAGGGTTTTTTGCTTGTTTTAAGCATTTTGCATTAGTTTCTCTCTCACGCTTCAGCCCTGTCTTCAAGCACCCCTACCTCTTTCAAGGGCCACTTGGACCTGGTTCTGGCTTCCTGCGGTTCACCAGTCTTGTCCCTGGGCCCGGGTGCGGGACACCAGGGTCCCTGGGCTCCCAGAGCGCAGGACCCCCGCGCGGGCGCACCCAGCAGCTATGGGTCTTGCAGGTGCCTGTGACCTTCGAGGACGTTGCAGTGTGCTTCACGCGTGAGGAGTGGCGCCGGCTGGGCCCTTGGCAGAGACGGCTGTACCAGGAGGTGATGCTCGAGAACTACAGCCACCTGGTCGCCCTGGGTGAGCCTGGACACAGGGTGCTGAAACAGGGGTGCTGAGTGCTAGATGCGGCAAGGTGGACATCCTTGCACAGGGATAGCTGCAGGATGGAACGGAGATGCCACTCCCCTTCGGGGGTAGGCAGCAGTGGGAGGGAGGAAGGAGCGCAGAATGTCCCGTGGGTCCAGCCCTTACCAGCACATACCCAGCCATAGCCCACCTGTTCCCTTGGTGTTGTTTGGAATCACTCACTCTCCTAGCTCGAACCTTCGGGGTGGCTGAAACTTACCCTGGCTTTGAGCTCGCTAAAGGAGCATTAGCAACATAGGCCCCTCTTCACTACCTATTGTATTATTGCCCGAGACTTTATAAGGGTTTTTTGGTTTTGTTTCTTTTTTAGTTTGGGGCCATCATCCCCTCAGGTGCTCAGGGGCTAGTCCTGGCTCTGTGCTCAGGAGTGCCCCCTAGTGGTTCTCTGGCGTATTCCTGGCTCTTTGCTCAGTAGTGACCCCCCTGATGGTGTTTGGGGTACCCTATGGGGTGCCAGAGATTGAACCCAAGTTAGGGTATCTGCGTGTGACAGTTGCCTTAACTTCTTCGCTCTCTCTCAGGTTCCTGTGTTCTCTTCTTTGGGGCTCCGTGGTCCCCTCAGCCCTTTTCCTAGATACCTGTCTATACATTTCTTATTTCCGGGGGGGGGGGGGGGCGGGGACAGGGATGAGGGGGTTGGGCTGCCCGTGGCATTGCTCTGTTGCTTTCCTGGCTCCGTACTTGGGGATCATTCCCTGGGATGGTCCCTATGTAGGTCACTGTGTGGTGCACAGGTTTGAAGGCAAACTCCTTAGCCTCTGGTCTGTCTCTCTCTCATGTATTTGCATCCAGTGTATTCAGTTAGCAGATTCCTCCTATAGAATGAAGTCTCAGCCTTGTCAGGGCTGTGCCACTCTCGATTTCGAACACAGAACTCAGACCTACTCCAGTCCCACCTCTCCCTTGCTGTTCTTTACACTGCCACTAGGTGCTGGGGAACAGAAGTTCACTCCCTCCCTCCTCCTCCTTACCTGCCCCCAAATCCCGTATTATCACCAATGAAACTCCCTACATCTTATATTTTGGGGGATGCACATTTGGCGATGCTCAGGGGTTAGTCATAGCTCTGCACTCAGAAATGACTCCTGCCAGTGCTTAGGGGACCCTGTGGGATGCCGGGGATCGAAGCGGGATCAGCCACATGCAGAGCAAGCGCCCTCCCTGCTGGGCTGTCTCTTCAGCATCCCTCCCCCCCCTTTGCTCTGTGTTGATACCATCTTTTTCTCTTGGTGGCTGAACAGGATTATCCTTGACCAAACCCAGCGTGATCTCCTTGCTGCAAAGAGAAGATTTCTGGATGGTGAAAAAAGAAGGTTCTGGAGATGCCTGTCCTGGTGAGTTGGGGTGGGTAAGGAGGGCAGCTGGGAGACAGCTACAGGCCACAGTGGGGGTGAGTGTGGGGGGGTGAAAATAGGTGCTGGTCGAATATTCACTCAACAGGAGCCAGCATTTGCTAACAGTCTGCCAGGAATTACTGATTCTCCACCACAGAGGTTCATGGGGTTAGAAAATGGAAGGAACTAGGTTTAGAAAACTGGAGGTATGGGTGTGTGTGGGGGGGGGTCGCACCCCAAGGCCTTATAAAGCCCAGCTGTGAGCAGGATCTGTGCCTTGGGAGTCAAAAGATCCAGAAAGAATTTTGAGCCAGAAAACACAGGGTCTTCAATCTTCGAGCAAACTATTGGCCCGAGGGGCTGGAGCAATAGCACAGTGGGGAGGGTTTTTGCCTTGCACGTGGCTGACCCAGGTTCGATTTCTAGCATCCCATATGGTCCCCTGAGCACCGCCAGGAGAAATTTCTGAGTGCAGAGTCAGGAGTAAACCCTGTGCATCACCAGATGTGACCCAAAAAGCAAGCAAACAAACAAACAAAAAAAAAAACTATTGGCCCGAAGCAACTGGCACATCCACTGGCACTTTCATGCCCCCTGAGGCCAGAGTTCAGGGCATGCTGAGGACCCGGACAGGGCCAGAGCATCTGTACCACAGAATCTGTTGAGAGTGGGCAATTTGGGAGCCTCGCGTGTGCTTGTGACAACAGAGAGAGGCTTCATTCAGGACGGAACCTGGCCTGGTTAGAGGCCGGGACTGTGCTGTGTGCCATTATTATTTGCAGGTCATGCACTGCCAGGAATCTGAAGTGCCGAAAGGGGTCCCTGCGGAAGTCATCAATGGGAATATAAAGTGAGGCCGAGCTGGGGGAGGCCTGCACAGTGGGCCAGGTCAGGGCCACTGTGAGGGGACTGGGCACAGGGAGGTCAGGCCTGTGTGAAAGACACAGAGGGGACACAGAAGGTCAAGACTGCAGTGAGGGGGTGGGGAACAGAGGGGTGTCAGGCTGGTGCTGAAGCTTAGAGCTGTGGACAGCGGAACAAAGCCCCCCATGAACCCCCCCCCCCACACACACACCTTCATAAGCCAGGATTAGACTGAATAGCCTGGGGCTGAGTCTGGGAAAGTCCCAGGAAGCAGGAAAGACTGTGGTGGGAGTTGGCGCTGAGCAGTTGACAGCAGGAGGGACACTCTGGCTTCAGGGGGTCAGACCTGGCCCACAATTACCCCGCCCTGTGGGGAGACCTCAGACTCAGGCTCCATGCTGGGCCGAGAAGGACACCAGCCAGTGCTGGTGGAACACCCAAAGGGGGGTTGAGGCACATGTTCCAGAACATTCCGGGGTGGAGGGGAATGCCCAGTTCCAGCCTGGGATTTGGTTGGGCCATGTGGGCAAAGTCTTCTTTGAGGCCTTGTCTGAGCTGAGGAGCCATGTACCTGGGCGGGGAGGCATGCTGGAGGCCCAGGTTTGATCCCTCAGCACCTCCAGAAGCACCACCAGGTGTCACCTTAAACTGTTGACCAACTGTGGTACCTAATGTAAGCAAATCCTTTCCACTCCTCTCAGCCGTTACGTGAACCTGCCTTCATCCTCCTAGGTGTGCCTGTCACCGAGCTCTGCTGCTGTCTAGCCCTGTGCACACAGCCTCTCTGGGTACAGAGAGTGCCCAGCTCACCTTTTGTCTTTCTGCCTGCCTGCGGCATGTGTGTAGATAATCCAGGCAAAGGCTCTCTGTGTAAACTGGCTGTGACACCCTCCTTGGCCCATAGAGTGCTCTGTCCTGTGGGTCACATCTGCAGGTGTTTGAGTCTCGTTGACCTGTGGGAGAAATCAATCATCGCTGAAAATATCTGACTTTGTTCTCATTAGAAATATGTTAACAATTCTGGGCAAAGAACTAGGACAGCGGGTGGGGTGCTTGCTTTGCACATGACCAATCGGACTTCAATTCCTGACACTCTGTATGGTCCCCCAAGCCCATCGGGAGTGATCCCTGAGCAGAGCCAGGAGTAAGCCCTGAGCACTGCCAGGTGTGGCCCAAAGATACACACATACACACACACACAGACACTTGTCTGCCAGGAGTAATTTCTGAGTTTAGAGCCAGGAATAACCCTGGATAGGAGTAGCATCACTGGGTGTGACTCCCCCCCGCCAAAAAAAAAGGAAAGGAAAATGAGATACATTTCTTGAGAGCTGAATCGGGAGGGGACAGAGCGTTTATACAGGGGATAAGGCACATGACTCACATGTGGCCATCCCTGGCTTGATCCCCGGCACTGCATGGAGTCCCCTGAGCCCCTCCAGGAGGCTCGGGGCGAGCACAGAGCCAGGAGTATTCCCCATGCACTGCTAGATATTGGCCCCAAAACCAAAAATATCAAGCTGTATAAATCCTATACCATAATATGAAAATATAACAAAGTCCTACTAAGCACAGTGTACATGCTGTCATAAAGAGCCTGGATTACAGATACCAGGCTGAGAAAGGACTCAGAAACACCCACTGAATCCAGCCCGAGTTCTGAACTGAATCTAATCAGTGTGGAGGAATTTGGCTTGGGGGAATGGGGGGGAGATTTTCCGGTTAGAGATCATTAAGGAAAGAAGTGAGGAATTTTGTCTCTAGTGTTGTAGTTTGGCTCCCACCAACCACTTCTCTATTCTGCTCTGCTCTCGTGCGTTTTCCCTCTTTCTCAGTCAGATACCGTTACCGTCTTGAGATCCCACCAATATTCTGTTCACTTCTTCTTGGTCTCCAAATCAACGTGAACCATCTTCAATTTCTTCTCCCTCCCCTCCAGGATGGAAGAGCATCAGTCAGACGGCCAAGCCAACTCAGACCCGAGGCTCATTCCAGGCGCTGACGGGGAAAAGCGCTAACAGGAAGGGGCCCTGGGACTTCAAATCAGAAGACAGCTGCGCCTCCAAAGATAGAGCAGAGAAGAAAGGAAGTGTCCAGCCAACCTCATGCACACACCAGAAAACGCTGGCCACAGGAAGGAGGCCCAGGAATGCTGACTCTGACCAGACCCGGGGCCCAAAGACAGACATTGAGGGGCAGCAGATAGTTCCCCAAGAAAACCCACTGCCGACCGGCAAACTACCGGGAAATAGATTCAAATGGAACTCGGCTTCACCCAAGGAGTCTCAGTGCGACAGCTCAGAGAGGCGCTTGCGGTGCAGCTTCTGTGAAAAGACCTTCATTAACACATCGTCCCTGCGGAAGCACGAGAAGAACCACAGCGGGGAGAAACTGTTCAAATGCAAAGAATGCTCTAAAGCCTTCAACCAGAGCTCGGCACTGATCCAGCACCAGATCACACACAGCGGCGAGAAGCCCTACCTGTGCAAGGATTGCGGGAAGGCCTTCACGCTCAGCACGTCCCTGTATAAGCACACGAGGACGCACACGGTGGAGAAGTCTTACCGCTGCAAAGAGTGCGGGAAATCCTTCAGCCGCCGCTCTGGGCTCTTCATCCATCAGAAGGTCCACGCGGGAGAAAACCCGCAGAAATATCACCCGGGCAGGAAATCTGCCCTCCCGGATGCTCCGAGGTCCAACGCCCGCAAGAAGTCCTACCTGTGTAGCGCGTGCGGCAACGCCTTCAAGTCCAGCTCGTCCCTGCGCTACCACCAGCGCATCCACACAGGCGAGAAGCCGTTCCGCTGCGGCGAGTGTGGCCGCGCCTTCAGCCAGAGCGCCTCGCTCATCCAGCACGAGCGCATCCACACAGGCGAGAAGCCGTACCGCTGCCACGAGTGCGGGAAGGGCTTCACGTCCATCTCCCGCCTCAACCGGCACCGCCTCATCCACACCGGGGAGAAGTTCTACAGCTGCAGCGAGTGCGGGAAGGCGCTGAGCTCCCACTCGACCCTCATCATCCACGAGCGCATCCACACCGGGGAGAAGCCGTGCAAGTGTAAGGTGTGCGGGAAGGCGTTTCGGCAGAGCTCGGCCCTCATCCAGCACCAGCGGATGCACACCGGGGAGCGGCCCTACACGTGCAGTGAGTGTGGGAAAAGCTTTAGGTGCAACTCGTCCCTGGGCAACCACCAGCGCATCCACACCGGGGAGAAGCCCTACCGCTGCGAGGCCTGCGGGATCGCCTTCGGCCAGAGCTCGGCGCTCATTCAGCACCGCCGCATCCACACTGGCGAGAAGCCTTTCCAGTGCAGCACGTGTGGGAAGACATTCCGCCAGAGCTCGTCCCGGATCGCCCACCAGAGGATCCACACCGGGGAGAAACCCTACGAGTGTGCCACCTGTGGGAAGCTCTTCAACCACAGGTCCTCCCTGACCAATCACTACAAGGTTCACGTGGAAGAGGACACCTAGAAAGTCCCATTGGCCCTCAAACCAGAACTGACTGGAAATCCATTCAGAACCATGCCGAAGGTCCAGGATAATGCCATAGGTGAAATGGCTGGGAAAACTCGCTTTTGTCTGTGGTTGCGGCCTTAGAGGCATTCAATTACAAGAGGAAACTTGGCTACATCAGGAGGAAAGTGGGAATTCCCTCGGGACCGGCACTTTGGACACTAACTTGTCGAATTTACAACTGGAGACTGTAGCACTGTCCTACTGTTGTTCATCGATTTGCTCAAGCGGGCACCAGTAATGTCTCACAACAAATTGTGAGACTTGTTGTTACTGGTTTGGGCATATCAAATATGTCACGGGTAGCTTGCCAGGCTTTGCCATGCGGGCAGGATACTCTTGGTAGCTTGCCGGGCTCACCGAGAGGGGTAGAGGAATTGTAACCTAGGTCGGCTGTGTACAAGGAAATGACAGATGCTAACCCAGGTCGGCTGTAGCAAACGCCCCCCCCCCCCCCCCCCCCGGCTGTACTATCTCTCCAGCCCACAACTGAAGACATGGGCTTTTGAAATTTGGAACATAAACGATTTTTCTTTGTAGCATCAGATTCTACGTAGTGTGTGCCATGTTCTTAAACATCCTGGCATGGGCAGAGACGTGCATTGGAGTTCTCAATTACAAATACCTGATTGCGCTTGATAGGATTGAGCATGATAGGACAGCAGGAGGGTGTTTGCTTTGCATTCCACTGACCCAGGTTTGATTCCCCTGGTCCCTATCAGAAGCGATCTCTGAGCACAGAGGCAGGAGCAAGTCCTTGGCACTGTGGGTGTGCCCACAAAACAAAAACAAACCTGGTTGGTATTTTTCTTAGATATCATTTTTAATAGCAACATGTTAATAGTATATACAAATCCGATGAAAGAAATTATACATTTTTAGACAAAGGAACAAAATCAAAGATAAAACTGGACCCTCGGGGGCCAGAGCCAAAGTAGAGTAGGTAGGGCATTTGCCTTACACACAACCAACCTGGGTTCTATCACAGGCATCCCATTTAGTCCCCAGAGCACACCACGAGTGATTTCTGAGTGCAAAGCTAGGAGTAACCCCTGACCATTGCCAGGTGTGACTCAAAAAGAAAAAAAACCCAAACAAATAAAAAATGGAGTCTAAGCTACCTCTCAGTTTCTGGGGTTTGTTCTTTTGTGTATCCAGCATTGTTTGGTGCATTGAAATTGATTTAAAAGTAGAAAATAAAAATACTTTATCTTCTTCCTTTGTTCTAGTAATTGTTGTGAATGGGGAATCTGCTTCCTAATTTAGTTCTCAGAATTTAATTGATCAGATCTTTTGGTTATGAATCTGTACACACTATGAATCTGTACACATACAATATCTAATAATGTCTTAGATATTATTGAGTGGAAATAAAAGCAGATATATATTGAAACACGAAAGAATAAATTATCAAAATAATGTTCATCAATCTAAGGTCTATGTCAGAATTTTAGAAGGCGCATCCATCATTTTGTGACCCCCCAAAAAAAAAGATTTTCTTGGTGCTACTTAGAAACTACTTAAAATAAAGGAATCACAATTTTTTTGTTTTTCCTTTTGCTTCAGAAACCAGCTTTGGAGACCAGAGATAGTATAGCAGGTTGGGTACTTGACTTGTACCCAGTCCTGGATCTTTTTTCTTTTTCCCCCTTTTGAGGGTTTTATTTTGGTTTGGTTTGTTTGGTTTGGGGGCCACACCTGGCGATGCTCAGGGGTTACTCCTGGCTCGGTATTCAGGATTCACTCATAGCAGTGCCTGGTGGATCATATGGGATGTTACGGATTGAACCAAGGTCAGCTGAAAGAAATCTTTGCTTTACCCACTGTGCTATATCTCTGGCCCCCAATCCCAATCCCCAGCCTGCCAGGAGTGATTTCTGAATGCAGGGCTAGGAGTAACCCCTGAGCACACTGGACGTGTGCTCCCAAAACAAAACAACAACAAACACCTTTGGACTAGGTTCATGGATAGGGAATACCCGAACCTTCTAGAAGTCACCAACAATGGGTTTGAAGTTGTGGCATCTATGCGAACGATAATTTGGAGATGAATCTGTATTAACAAACATTCTATAGATCATTGTATTGCCACCCAACAATGTGATTGAAGCTTCTGGAGAATGAGATTGAACTGGAAGCAATAAGAGCCATACGAGGAAGTGGTACATAGGCAAGGATGTTTGAGTTCAGCCTTGAAAGATTAATAGACCACCCAGGAGTAAGGTGAGCCAGCGGGTAGGCATTTGCCTTGCACACAGCTGACCTAGGTTTGATCTCTGACATCCCACATGGTCCCCCAAGCACTGCCAGGAGTAATTCCTGAGTACAGAGCCAAAAGAAAGCCCTGAGCACTGTTGGGGGGCCCCAGAATCAAATAAATAAACACATAATAAAGAACATTGCCAGGGCTGAGCGATAGTACAGCAGGTAGACATTTGCCCTGCATGCAGCCAACTCGGGCTCAATCCCTGGCATCCCATATGGCCCTCTGATCCCTCCAGAATTCCTGAGTGCAGAGCCAGAACCTCTGAGAACCCCTGGGTATGACCCCCCAAAAAACAAAAAATAAGAAAACATTGCCTTGAACATTGTTGGCCCAGTTTTCTCTCTGAGCATTGCCTGGAGTGGTCCCTGAGCACCACCAGTGTGGTCTAAAAGAAAAAACATTCAGTGGACAGAGGGGAAACATAGGATAGCTTTGTGACAACTCAAGTAAAGGGCAGATAAGCAGGGGAAATGACAGATGCTAAAGTGTGTCAGAATAGGGGCTGGAGAGATAGTACAGTGGGTAAGGTGTATGCCTTGCATGCGGCCGACCCAGGTTTGATCCCTGGCATCCCATATGGTCCCCTGAGCATTGCCAGAAGGGATCCCTGAGTGCAGGGCCAGTACTCACCCCCCGCCTGAGAACTACTGAGTGTGGCCCCCCAAACTAAAAATGTTTGTGTTAGAAGAAGGTAGGATGGGGGGGGGGGGGCGTTGAGAAGGTGGTGCACACATATCAAGGCTCAGGGGTCACTCCTGGCTCTGCACTCAGGAATTACTCCTGGCAGAGCTCAGGGGTAAGGTCAGCTGCGTGCAAGCCCGGGCAAATGCCCAACCACCGTACTATTGCTCCAGTCCCCTGCTGCAGTATTGTTTTGGCTCACAGTAGGGTAGATTATTAAAAAACCTGCTTACCATACCTGAAAATGATTTTTAAAAGACCTGCTTGCCACACCTGAAATTGAAATCAAAAGGGCTAGAGTGACAGTACAATAGGAAGGACATTTGCCTTGCACACGGACAACCCAGGAACTGGAGCGATAGCACAGTGGTAGGGCATTTGCCTTGCGCATGGCTGGCCTGGCCGAGCCGGATTGGATTCCTCCGCCCCTCCTGGAGAGCCTGGCAAGCTACCGAGAGTATCTCGCCCGCATGGCAAAGCCTGGCAAGCTACCCGCGACGTATTCAATATGCCAAACATAGTAACAAGAAGTCTCAAAATAAAGACATTACTGGGCCCGCTCAAGCAAAATCAATAAACAACAGGAGGACAGTGTGACAGTGTGACGGCCAACCCAGGTCGATCCCCAGCATCCCATATAGTCTCCTGGCACCACCCAGATTAATTCCTGAGTGCAGAGCCAGGAGTAACCCTTGAGCACAGCCATGCATGACCCAAACACAAAACAAAAAATTAAAATCAAAATTAAAATTAAGGAAAAAGGTTCTGGTGGTAGCATGTAGAGATTGTGTATAGGAAATCGAAAAGGTGCTCGTACGTAGAGCTGTCCTTTGCAGGCATACAGGAAATGCATCTTTTCTCATCACATATAAAGTTCATTTGATCATTTGAATCACATGTAAAATTCATGCGAATCACGAATCACAACCATCCTGTTATTCGTCGATTGCCTCGAGCAGGCCCCAGTAACGTCTCCTTCATCCTAGCCCTGAGACTTTTAAGAAAGTGCTATTTCAAGGCTCTTTAGGAGAATGAGACCCATCACTGTTACTGGTATTTGGCATATTGGGTACGCCACGGGGAGTTTGCCAGACTCTGCCGTGTGGGCAGGTTACATTCGGTAGCCTGCCAGTTTGTACGAAGTAGAAATGAGATAATAAGATGTCATAATAAGATGTCGCTCAGCTGCTAATGCGGCCGCGCGGTTCTGAGAGCTGGAATTTTCAAAAAATTCATACATGAACCCTTTTAACAGTCCAACTCCAATTTGCTGTTCTTGTTGAAGAGGAGGGACTAGAAAAAAAATTTTTTTTTTTGAGATCACACCCAACGACGCACAGGGGTGACTCCTGGCTCTGCACTCAGAAATTACCCCTGGCAGTGCTCAGGGGACCATATGGGATGCTGGGAATTGAACCCGGATTGGCCGTGTGCACACCCTCCCTGCTGTGCTATTTGCTCCAGCCCCCCATTTATTTATTTTTTTAATAATTATTTTTCTGGGGCTAGAGCACTGCCAGGGGTAATTCCTGAGTGCAGAGCCAGGAGTAACCCCTGTGCATTGCCGGGGTGTGATCCAAAAAGCAAAAAAAAATAATAAATAATTTAATGGGAAAAAAGAGGAGGAAGGACTAGCCAGAAAAGGGGGAAGTCAAACCCCTGAAGAAATCACATCACAGAGCCTAATTTACATATGTGACCTGATTGGCCATTATCCAAACCATATTTGTTAGAGAAGATCGTGGCAGCATTTTTTTTTCTTTTTGGGTCACACCCCGGCGATGCACAGGGGTTACTCCTGGCTCTGCACTCAGGAGTTACTCCTGGCAGTGCTCAGGGGACCATATGGGGTGCTGGGAATTTAACCCGGGTTGGCCGCGTGCAAGGCAAACGCCCTACCCGCTGCGCTATCTCTCCAGCCCCTGTGGCAGCATTTTGAATACCTCTATAAGGGCATGTGCTAACTGGTCATCCTGTGATGACTTGCCACCCTCATTTCTTACACCTCCAGATTGGTTATTCATTCCATGGTCTGGGTATAACCAATCAGCAGAAATAACTAAAGGGTGGGGGGAATATGTAATGTTATATATAAACCGAAGTCTTTGTATAAGTCCCTTCCCAGGCAAGGACTTTGAGTCTCCATGAATCCCACTCTCTCTCTCTCTCTCTGAATTCTGCAGAAAATATCTGAATCCATGAGACCACAGGACGGGGGTGTGGCAAAACGAGGGGGCATTGAGCACAGAGGGACACCTGTGTGTCTCTGACACTGCCCACACTCTCATGGACAGAGAAAAAGGACTGTGTGAAGGAGTTAAGGAGTCCCCTTGGGTCAATACTCCAAGGACCTAGAGTGGTTTGGCTGCTCAAAGAATTCATCAAGTTGTCCATCCGAGAGCAAACAGTAGTGGCCAGGACAATAGTAGTGTATAGGCACTTGTCTTGCACACAGCAGACCCAGGCTTGATCTGAGAAACACAAAAGTTTCCTCGAACACAACCAGAAGTGAGAGCCAGGAGTAATTCCTGAGCTTCAACAGGTATGCTTCCCCACCCCCCCCCCCCAAAAAAAAAGTAAATTGGCAGGGACCAGGACAATGGTATAGTAGGTAAAGCAATTGCCTTCCGAAGGTCAACCCTAGTTCAGTCCCTGGCACTCAGGGTCCCCTGAGCCCTGCCAGGAGTGATTCCTGTGTCCAGTCAGGAGTGAGCCCTGAGCACCCCTGGGTGTGACCCCAAAACAAAACAAAGTACACTGGCCAGAGGTAGCGCTGGAAGGTGTTTGCCTTGCATGCGGCTAACCCTGCTTTAATCCCCAGCACCACACTGAGTCCCTCCAGGAGTTCCTTGAGCACAGATGCACAAAAAAGGAAAAAGCCTGAGCCCAGCAGTGTGAGCCCCAAATAAAAATAAATATGAAATTCAAACCACCATGCACCATTATTCTCCCACCTACCCAAAGGCCCCTTAGCCACAAGCCTCAACGGCTTTCACAGTAGCTCAGCATGACCTCGACCTTTGCACTTGAACCCCCAGAATCCTCTGTAAGTGGATTTGTTTGTTTGTTTGTTTTTTTGCTTTTTGGGACACACCCGGCGATGCTCAGGGGTTACTCCTGACTCATGCACTCAGGAATTTCTCCTGGCGGTGCTCGGGAGACCATATGGGATGCTGGGAATTGAACTCGGATCGGCCATGTTGGCTGTGTGCAAGGCAAATAAATGCCCTACCTGCTGTGCTATCGCTCCAGCCCCATGTAAATCAATTTGGAGATCAGACAGGTTTGGCGCCGTCAATCGGTCAGCATAGGAATCTCACTGAATGGGATTTGCAGAAATAATCCCATCCTCCTGCCCACTGTCCAAAGACCCACCTAGGGTGGGTCTCAGCCAGCCTCTTCAGGACTATTTATAAGGGCCAGGTCCAGTCTGTCTCCGTCAGACGGCAAGGAGCAGAGGGAGCAGAGAGGGCGAGCTGTTCTTCTCCCTCAAGAACCCTCAACAGAACCTCAGCAAGCAGAAGAGCAGCCTGGGTCTGCACCACATTCCCGAGCTCTATGGCGGCTGAGGTCACTGAAGTGAGTTGCGGGGATCCCTGCTACCCCTTTGGGTGGGGTAAATCTTGGTTGGTTTGCTTCATTTTAATTTTATTTCTCTTTACTGGGGGGACACAACCAGCTGTGCTCAGGGCTCACTCCTGACACTATGATCATATGTGGGGCCGGGATCATACCAGGGTTTGCTGCGTGCATTGTGATGGATGTTTGCTTAATCAAACACACCAAGAGCATCCATGGCAGGGGAACAAGAAGTCTATTGCACCGGCTCATCAGACCCATGCTAGGGAAGCAGTTGAAGCCTTAGACAAAGCTCGGGGAGGGGCGGGGGCGGGGAGCAAGAGCCTGTTTTCATAGGGTATCACTGCAAACTCATCATTGCTTTGCTTCATGCTCAAGTATGGTGGTGGGTGCCTGAACTTGAGGGGACCATCAGTGTGTCTAGAGGAAATTTTCTAGAATCAACATTTTCTTTTTTTTATTTTTGCTTTTTGGGTCCTGGCTTTGCACTCAAGAATTACTCCTGGCGTTGCTCAGGGGACCATATGGGATGCTGGGAATCAAACCTGGGTCGGCTGCGCAAACAAACACCCTACTCGCTATGCTATCGCTCCAGCCTCTAGAGTCAACATTTTCTTAGCTTAGAACAGGGAAGTTCATCGCAAGTGCAGAGTGGGAGAGAGAGCATCTTTCTATCTTTTTTTTAAACAGATTTCTTTTTTTTAATTATTATTTGATGTGCATTTTTTATCATTTTTTTATTAGTGAAACACCATGAAGTACACTTATAGACTTATAAATTTTTGTGCTTGGGTTTCAGTTATACAATGATCAAGTACCCATCCCTCCACCAGTGCCCATCCTCCCCCACCACGGGTCCTAGCATCCCTCCCACCCCCCCACCCCCCCCCCCCCCGTCCCACCCTGCCGCTGTGGCAGGGCATTCCCCCTTGTTCTCTCTCTCTTCTTTCTAAAACTTTCCACCCACAAGTAAAATCATTTTATTTAGAGGCTAAAGCGAAAGTAGAGTGAGTGGGGTACTAAGTGCCTTGCACAGAGCTGACCCATGTTTGATCCCTGACATCCCATACGGTCCCCTGAGCACTGCCAGGACTAATTCCTCAGTGCACGGTCAGGAGAGCCATCCCTATGATCTCTTTAAAGTATGTTCTATAAATCAGTTATAAAACTAAAGATGTATATGACAAATTTTCATCATAACACACAATGGAAGCACTTCACCCCTGAAATATCTTGTTTTGTTTTTCGGTTGTTTTTTGGGCCACACCCAGCGATGCTCAGGAGTTACTCCTGGCTCTGCACTCAGGAATCACTCCTGACAGTGCAGGGGGCCATAGGGGATGCCGGGAATCAAACTCAGGTCGAACACATACAAGGCAAATACCCTACCCTTTATTATATCGCTTTGGCCCCCATAGTATGTCTCTGACACTCTGTTCTTTGTTGAACATAGACACTGACGGCGATGAAGAGTGAAATTGCTGAAAAATCACAGAAAGATCAGGAGGAAGTAGCCGCTGCCCCAAAGCCTTTAGGTAACACAGCCCAAGTCTGCTTGCCCTGGAGAGAACTGAATTCTGTTGATTTTTCAGGGGAGGGTGGCTACAACCATCGGTGCCTGGGGCTTCTCTTTCACTGAGGCTCTGGCATCTGTTCCCAGTGATTTGGGGAGAAGCCCCCTATGCTGAGATAGACTTCTTGAACAACACGTCTGTGCTCAGTTCATGAAGTTCAAGTCTGACCCTTTCTCCCAAGGCCCCGGCTAGGGTTCTCCTCTGGGTGAATGGGGGTGCTCAATGTCCTGGGACTTCTCTGTCGCTGCTGTCAGAACTGAGGGGTGATGGAGACCCCCTTCAGGGAGTGGTCACCGCCCTCCTCCCCAAGATCTGATGGACTAGGGGCAGAAGGGATAGTACAGCCTCTAGGTCACTTGCCTTGCAGGTGACAGATCCGGGTTCATATGGGCCCTGGAGCCTGCCCTGTGCACCGAGGCCGGAGGAAGCTCTAAGCACCGCTGTCCCCGCCCCAACCAGCCCCCCCAAAAAACAGGGATGGACTAGAAGCAGGCCGCAGAGGCCATGGTTTAGGAGAGGGAGGGCTGAGAGACAGGCTGAGTGACAGCCGAGCGTTTAGGAATTCAGATCTGTTGGGGGGCTCGGGTGGGCGTGGCAGTGTGGGGCTGGGTCTCCGACTCCCCTCCGGGCGTCGGGAAGCCTCAGCAGCCCATTCTCCGTCCACCCCCAGGCCAGCAGGCTCAGCCCTGGAGCGGGGATGAAATCCGGCTCTTCATCCATGAGTGGGAACTCCTGGGCAATCTGCAGGCGAAGAAGAATATCAAAACCGCCAAAGCGATCGCGCAGAGGCTCAAAACTAAGGGCATCCTGAGGAGCCGGAAGCAGTGTCTGATTTTGCTGGAGAACCTGCAAGAGATGTACTGGACCATCCACCGCGCCAACCAGCGGCCCCGCAGCCAGCCGCTGCCCTGTCCCTTCGGTGAAGCCCTGAACCGACTCCTGGGGCCCAAGAGGCAGCACCCGGTCTCCGGTGAGTCTCTACCCACGCCTGGTCCTGAGTGGGGGTGCAGCGTCCCCTCGTCTCTCCCGGAGCCATGTGCTGGACCTCTTGGCCCCGCCCACATGCTCCCAGGGATATCCTGGCCCCGCCCACAGACGCCTCCCTTGGCACAAAGGTCGGAGGTGCAACTGGAGTCCACCACCACTACCCTAACCAGGGGCCAGGAGGGCATTGGTTCGGGACTTGCTCAGGGTGGGGTGCTCTGGGGGCTCAGCGGTGGCAGGATAGGGGCCCGCTGGGGTGGGCAGAATGTAAGGAGGGGACTGGTCCAGGTATGGGAGCCAGGGTGAGTTCTCAGAGGAGCATCTCGGGCAGACAGGAGCCTTTCACGAGCCTTCATCCTTCTTTCTCTCCTACAGATCCTACCCATCAACATGAGGTCCCTCTGTCTGCTCCTGCGGCTCAGTCCCCGGTCTGGGGACCACAAGGTCCCTTTGAGAGGCCACTGCAGATGCCCCCACCTGTGTTACATGCTCCATGGATGCAGCTGCCTGTGGAACCCGCCGGAGCTCAGTGGGTCAGATGGCAGCCCGGCTACCCCGCCGCGACCTTCTGCTTCCCTCCAGGTCTCCCTGCGATTGCACCCCTGGGCTTTGTACCTTCAGTGGTCTCCAAACTCCCGACTGGCCCCAGCCCTCCTGCTATCCCCAACCCCTTGACAGCTCCTAGCCCCCTGATGGCCCCCGGCCTCCCAAATGCCCCCAGTTCCCTGACTGACTGCAGCCTTGATGGGCCCCAGCCCTTGATGGTCACCAGACCCCTGGCTGTCCCAGCTCCCCAGTAGCCCCCAGGCCCCCTGCCCTCAGTCAAAGTGATCTTTCTCCTCTTGACTCTGATCCCAACTTGCCTGCCCCCAAGAAAAAATTTTAAAAAGTTAAAAAAAAAAAATCCTGGGGCTGGAGCGATAGCACAGCGGGTAGGGCGTTTGCTTTGTACGCGGCCGACCCAGGTTCGATCCCCAGCATCCCATATGGTCCCCTGAACACTGCCAGGAGTAACCCCTGTGCATTGCCGGGTGTGACCCCCAAAAAAAGCAAAAAAAAAAAAAAAGAAAAAAAAAGAAAAAAAAGAAAAAGAAAAAAAAAGAAAAAAAAGAAAAAGAAAAAAAAAAAGAAAAAAAGAAAAAAAGAAAAAAAAATGCCTTCCACTTCTACCCCCATATGTCAGTGACAGTGACATTCAATAATGTGAACTTCCTCCCCCAACTGTGAACTCCTGTGACTTTCAATAAAGTAACCCTCCCCCAATAAGTGAGTCCTGAGTGAGTTAATGTGGGGGGCTCAGGTGGGGTGCCCCACCTCATCCGTGCTCTTCTGGGGCAACAGAAGAAACAAATACACACAGACCCAAGGCATAGGAGAGGCAGCAGAATTGCATGCTATGACACCCCAACTTGGCGGCTCCCTTTTTCTTTCCTCCCACAGGTCTGGAAGACACTGAGATCCGGAGAGCTACGCTTTGCACTTGGGTGGGGGTGGTTGGTCGATCAGCGGTCAGTGTTTTGTAGGGGAACCTTTTCCTTCTCTGGGAGAAACAGCCTTGCTACATTTTCAGTTGGGTACTAGATCACTCCCAGTGATTCCTTCTGCCATTCCGGTTTAATGTTTATTGTATGCTTCCCCCCCGCCCCCCTTGATGTCTACTACTCCCCTTGTGAATATGGGGAAAACTCCTAAATAAGAGTCTTGGATCATCCTAAATCTAATCTATCAGGCAAAATCTCAGAGCCCCCCCACCTCCGTCTAGCCAGCACAGCCTGGGAGGGAGGCAGTGGGGTTCGAGGGAAGAGAAGGTCTCCTGTTTGTGTCTAAAGAAAAAAATAGGGGGCTGGGGAGAGGGTCAAGCCGGTAGGTTGTTTACCTTGCACTCAGCCAAGCTGGATAAGATCCCCGACCTCTGGCATCCCATGCACTGTAGCACGGTCCTCCCATTGTTCATCAATTTGCTCGAGTGGGCACCAGTAATGTCTCCATTGTGAGACTTATTGTTACTGTTTTTGGCATATCGAATATGCCATGGGGAGCTTGCCAGGCTCTGCTGTGTGGGCGAGATACTCTCGGTAGCTTGCCAGGCTCTGAGAGGGACGGAGGAATCGAACCCAGGTTGGCCACGTGCAAGGCAAATACCCTACCCGCTGTGCTACCCCTGGCATCCCAGACGGTCTCCCAAACACCACTAGGAGTTAATTCCTGAGTGCTGAGTCAGGAATAACCTGTGAGCATCACTGGGTGTGGCCCCAAAACCCAAAACACAAACAAACAAAAAAGAAGGGCCAGAGAGAGAGTACAGCGAGTAAATCTCTTGCCTTGCACTAGGACCCAGGCTCCAACCTTGGCATCCCAGATGGCTCCTGTAGTACTGCCAGGAGTGGTTCCTGGTTGTACAACTGGGAATAACCTCTAGTAATGACAAATAAGAAATTGCAAATTAAAAAACTATGTGAGAATTATGAAACTGTGATGAGAACTAAGAGAATGTGATGGGAACGAAGACACTGAAACCAGCCACCAAATTCCTTCAAGAGTCCCCTGGGCATTGCCAGAAGTGATCCGGGGCAGAGAGCCAGGAGGAGCCCTGAGCACTGTGGGTACCATCCAACCTCTTCCTCCACAAAAGAACAAAAACACTTTATACAAAATGAGTCAATAGAAGAAATTTGCTATTGAAGACGCTGCAGGGGTAAGGACCCCTGCAGGAGCTGTCAACACTGCAAAGATTTATTGACGGAGTCTGGAACCACACGTGCAGCTATGTGCATAAGCAACGCTTGTGGTTCCCAGGACAGGCAAACAGCACATATTGCAAAACTGTGCGAGCTCTCTGGCGCCTGGACCCCTGGTGGCTTTGAGCCTGCACCAAACCTCTGATCCCAGAAAGCCGCTTTGGGACGATGTGGGGTTCTTTGCTGCCGGTCCTGGAGGGGCTCTTCCCTTGTTGAGTAACCTCTGGTTGCTCCATTTTGTGCCTCGCTTGGGGGTATTGCGGTCTCGTGGCCACCAGATGGTGCTCGCGCACTCTTTGAATTTAAACTGAGCTGGTTGTTTTGTTTTGTTTTGAGGCCACACCCAGCGCTGCTCAGGATTTACTCCCGGTTTTAGCACTCAGGAATTATTCCTCTAGGTGCTGGGGACTATATGCGGTGCCGGCGATCGAATTCAGATTGGCTGCATGCAAGGCAAATGCTCTACCCACTGTGCTATCTCTTTAGTCCCCAGGAGACAGTTCAAGAAAGCAGGAATTCCATTTTCCAATACCCCACCCCAGCGCACCAGTCCTTATCCCTGCCAGCATGGGACTTTCTGGAAACCAAGCACAACGGAGCTAGACTTCTACCAAAGGTTCCCTTCGCCCCCTCTGTGATTTTGTTTCCCTTTTTCTAAAACGCCCCTCCTTATCCTGGCTCTGCAGGACTATTCCCAGAAAAATTGCAAAGAGTGTCTATTAACCCACACAACTGACCTGGTCAGTGAATGAACCAAGCTGAAACCCTGAGGCCCAGGAGGGTGCCATAGTCAGTAGCGGGAACATGAGAGCATCTTTATCTGCCTTAATCATTCCATCATCCTTCTGCCGTGACTGTTCCTGCAAAACCCTCTCAGATTCTAAGACTAGCTTTTTTAAAGGGTGAACAAAGAAGTGAGATGTGACCATTATGCAAAACTTTTCTTTTAAAGCTTCTGAACCAATTTGGGGGGAGAGTCTTGGGCAAATTGGGCCACATTGAGTGGGGCTCAGGGCTAACTTCTGGCTTAGGGATCACTCCTGGCAGGGTTCAGGGAATCTCTTAAGGTGTTGGGAATCAAACCTGGGTCCATTGTGTGCAAGGCAAGAGCCCAACCTGTTGGAGTATACCTGGTGCAGTGTTTTTGTTGTTGTTGTTTGTTTTTTTGCAACACCAGGGATTGAACCCATGGCCTTCCACATGTAACACATGTTCTCTACATAGTATCTGCATTGAATAAGTTCCTTTAGGACCAATAAACCCACCTTCAAATACCACTGGGTTGGCCCCAAAAGAACTGAGAAAATGGAAGATTGAAAATATAGCTCTAAAAAAAAAAAGAAAATATAGCTCTAGAGTAACTGGAGAGATAGTACAGTGGGTAAAGCACTTTCATGAAGACAATCCCTGGCACTGCATAGGGTCATGAAGACAATCCCTGGCACTGCATAGGGTCATGAAGACAATCCCTGGCACTGCATAGGCCTTGCATGAAGACAATCCCTGGCACTGCATAGGGCCCCCCCTCATCCCACAAGGAGTGATTTCTGAGCACAAAGCCAGGAGTCAGCTCTGAACACCAGCAGGTATAGGCCCAAACTAGAAAAAAAATTTTTTAACTGTTCAATCTAGATATTTCTGACTGCAACTGCAGCAATAGTACAGTCGGTAGGGCATTTGTTTGCCTTGCATACAGCTGGCCGGGGTTCAATCCCCGGCATTCCGTCTGGGTTTTCTGAACACCACCAGGAGTAATTCTGCGTGCAGACCTAGGAGTAACCCCTGAGTATTGCCAGGTGTGGCCCAAAAACAAAAAACAAAACATATTTATGGCTAAGTTGTAAGACAGCACATGCGAAGCTCGGTTCCATCTCCCTGCCGAGGTCCAGCCATTTGAACTCTGCCGGGAGCACCGCACCTCTCCATCTCTCTACCAATTCCGTGTACCCAGAGTGGGAGTCCAAGGTCTTCGTGTCTGCTGGATCACTCAGTGACAGTTCCCTCCACCCTTCCCTGAGAAGCGGAGCTCCGATGAGCACACAGATCAGCTTTTCTGCGTGTTGCGCAGCAAATCTTCACCAGAACACGAATCCCCCTGTCAGTGTTTCAACCCGGCTCTGGTCTGATCTTTCTCAGCATTCTGGACGCTTGACCTTCCCCTTTCTCTGATCAAGGTTTGTTTATTTATTTTTATTTTCTTTTTGGGTCATACCCAACAATGCACAGGGATTACTTTGCACTCAGGAATTACTCCTAGCGGTGCTCAGGGGACCATATGGGATGCTGGGAATCGAAGCCGGCTCGGCCACGTGCAAGGCAAGCAAGGCAATCGTCCTACCCGCTGTGCTGTAGCTCCAGCCCCTGATCAAGGAGTTTTATCACACTTCCACTTTTCAGCCAGCTCGCTACCATATGCTCTTTAGCGCACGTTTCTTTCACATGGCTTAAATAAAAGCACCAGAACGTGTGATCCCCAAAACCAAAAAGAAAAGAAAAGAAAAGAAAGTTGATTGGGTTCTGGGAGAGAGAGCACAGAACCCGCTTCAGATCGTGGGAACGCATGGGGTCCTGGGGAGGGGAACTGCGGGCCCAAAGCCCCCTAAAGGAGTCAACTCAAGTCAGAGGTCAGGGGAAGGACACGGGCAGCTCTTCTTATGAGGGCGCCCGGGTTCCTAACCCGATCTGGACGCCTCGGCGGTACCTCCAGAATTTAGGACTGGGGCGAGAGAGAGAGGAGAGAAATGGAAGGGGACAGGCACGAACTGCGCAGCCGCACTGGGGAGGGTCAGGGCTCACCTGCGAGGGCCAGCGAAGCCCCGCCCCGCTGCCTAACAAAGCCCCGCCCCTGACGTGGAGGGCGGGGCCCTCGAGGGTTTGTTGCGCAGGCGCGTTGGCGCGCGCGGTGGGCGGTGCTAGAGGCCGCCCGGGCTGTGAGGGAAGCGGCTGTCGCCATTTTGTGCGGTGTTTGTCGCAGCGGTCGGAGCGCCTGCACGGCGTTCCGGCGACATTTTTCGGCGAAGAGGCCTTTTGCCTCCGCCGAGGTAAGGTGTGGGGCGCAGATTTGGGGACTGGGCAGTCTCCAGGGTGTCACGGGTCGAAGCCGTCTGGTGACAAGCCGAGCCCTGGTGGGACCTCGAACCCTGCGCTCGGCCGGGCGTCCTGAGGGGTGGGTGCGTGGGCGCCTGTGGCCCGCCGCCGGGCACCGTGTCCGCAGCGTTTGGAGCCCGGGCCCCCGCGAACCGTCGGTGTCGGCCACGGGGACGTTTTGGGGGGGCACCGGCGGGGCTTGGCCTCCAGAGGGTGCGAGCGGGGCCGCGCGCCTCCGCTTGCGAGTCTCGGCGCCCGCCGTGTCGGGACCCCCTGGCCTGAGGCGTGTCTGTCTCCCCCTGTGGGGTGTCGGACCCTCCCCCGGGTCCCTGACGGAGCAGCCGCGGCGGGACAGGAATGGGAACAGCAGGTCTTACTGCTCTGGGGTCGAGCCCGCGCTCGGACTGCCCGGGGCGTGGGGGGCTTCTGAGGGGATCCCCGCCCGCTCCAGCCCTTCCGTTTGACTTTGGGGCCACACCCGGCAATGCTCGGGTAGTGACTGGGGAGGGGGGGAGGGACCCTTGTCCCTGGCAGTGACTCGGGCGGGGGGAAGGACCCTCAGGGGTGCCGGGGCTCTAACCCTTGTCGGCTGCGTGCAGGGCGAACGCTTTGCTCGCAGCGTCTAGCTCAGGCTCCTTCACCCCTTTAGAAAGAAACGGGCTCGGGGACTGGCAGGCAAACCCGCAGTGCCAGCTATCGCTTCTGGCGGTGCTCCAGGCATATGGGAACTTGGAGATGGAACCCGTTTCGCTGCGTGTGGAAGCAAACGCTCTTCCCCTGTCTTATGGTTCTTGCCCCACCATCCATTTTTTTTCTTTCCGCCTCATCCCTCATATTTGGGTGTCGCTTCTGACTTGAGAGTGCTCCCCCATTAGAGGGATCCGGGAGAAGGGAACTAAAGGGAAGCAGAGACAGCTTTACCCATGGTGATCAGCTGTGAAACGTCAACAGGCTGGGGAGAAAGCTGGTTCTGCACGAAGCTGACGCAGATTTGAACCCGGCAGGCAGAACACCCCCCAGCACCACGGGGTAGGACCCCAAGCCCTTCCCCGCTTCAGCATTGCTCGTTTCTCTTGCCTTGAACGTGTTAAGCCCAAGTTTGGTACCTGGAACCACAGAGCTGTACCAAGATTCTTTTTTTATTATTAATTGTTTTGGTTTTGGGCGGTGCATCAAGACTTACTCCTGGCTCTATGTTTCTTCTGATGATGCTCCAGGGCCCATATAGGATGTGGGGTTGAAACAGGGTCGGCCGTGTGCCATCTCAGCTGTCCTATTGCTCGGACCCCTGCCCTACTGCCTTTGGAGTCCCAGTGTGTAGGCTAGGTGTGGCAGGGTAGGATGCTGCTGCTGCATCACCCCATGGTGCTCACTTAGCACTGAATGCAGAGGTGTTTGTCTGACCAGTGAGAAATTTATTGGGTGGTAGAGGGTGGGCACATCCGGCTTGCCGGGGAGCAAAAGGAGGGTCAGTTCTGTGCAAGGCAGGGGGGGGGGGAGGGGGCAGGGGGGGCTCCTCCTGCCAGCTTTTCTCCCTCTCCTTCCCACCCTCTCTACTTGTCCTCTCCTGTCTCCCTCCCACAGGGATGTTGTTTTGTCTGAAGACTACTGGGGAATTTGCCAGCCTGAGACACTTACAAGATAGGATACTTGGTCCCAACTGTGGGGAGTCCTTTTACTTTCTCGGACTTCCCAGTAAACTTTTTTACTTTTCAAAAAAATAGATGAGACTATTTGAGGATTGGGCTCTGTGGGTGATCACACTTTATTTTTAAAAATTTAGTTATTTGATTACACTTTATTTTTGGGACAGTGCTAGGGTTCTGTCAGAAAGTCATTAGAGGGGCCGGAATGATAGTACAGCGGGGAGGGCATTTGCCTTGCACGTGGCCAACCTGGGTTTGATCCCCAGCATCCTATATGGTCTCCCAAGCACCACCAGGAGTGGTTCCTGAGTGCAGAGCCAGGAGTAACCCCTGTGCATCATTGGGTGTGACCCAGAAAGCAAAAAATAAAAGTCTTGAACAGACAGTGATTCTATGTTGAGTGCACCCTATAGGGTCCCCTGAGCATCACCCTCAGTGACCCCAGAGTCCCATTGGCCCCAAAACAAAAAGCCCTTCGGAGAAGCTTGGCAGTGGGGGAAGGCATGGCTGGTGGTTGGGGGGTGACATGGATGTCCCTTAAAGACACTTTCTGGTGATTCCTCTGAGCCTTGTCACATCTGCTGAGAACTTGGTTCAGAGTAGGAGTAGATACCAGGTAGTTAGCACAGATAAGGAAGGGCTGCTGGATACTAAAAGTGGAGGGCGGGGTGGGGGGTACTAAAGCATTGGTCAGCTGCACATGCTTCTGGAAAGCAGGTCTTTTGTGAATTTTTATGGTGGAGGGAGCAACTTTGAAATACCCTAACTGCAGGATGATCAGGAGATGTTTTTGTTGGATGGGAAGGGAGTTCATCTGGTCTTTCTGTTCCCCTTTAACCTCTCCGTTTATTATGTGTATGTTCATTTGCCTTATACAATCCCCCTAGGCTTGAAACCTCTGAATTTTATTGAGGGGGGAGTGTAGGGGGGAAAATACCAGGTGGTGCTCAGGGGTTACTTCTAGCTCAGGAATCACCCCTAGTGGTGCTTGGGAGGCCATATGGTTTTGTTTGCTTTGCTTTGGGGCCACACATCGCATTGCTCAGGGGCTGTTCCTGACTCTGTTCAGGGATCACCCCTGTGGGCTCAAGGGACAATATGAGATGCCAGGATCAAACCTGGGTCGACTGTGTACAAGGCAAGCGCCCTCCCCACTCTGCTGTCGCTCTGGGCCCATCTATGAGCTTTAGAGAAAGGAAGAGTCGACCCCGTTTTGGTGGGGAAGCCTCTGTGAGTGGCTCTTCATTGGTAAATCGGTCATTTTTCCGTGGTTTCCTGCTCAACAGTGCTCATCTGTCTGGTTACTTATACTGGTTGATGTTTTACCAAAGTTACATGAAACTTGATAGTTCTCTTACATTTTATGTAACTTAGTTTGTTGTGAGGGGGGGCATGAACCACACCTAGTGGCCTCGGGGCTATTTCTAGCTCTGCTTCTAGTAAGGCTGGGAATGGGGGGCATTTTACAAGATTGGGGTCCAGTGGGAGTTGGCCACATGCAAAGCTAGTGCCTGGTACACCTTAAAGTCACCTTTTTGGGGGGCAGGGATAGCACCCAGTGGTGCTCAGAGCTTACTCCTGGTTCTGTGCTCAGGGTCACTCCTGGTGGACTTGGGGCCATCTGGGGTACCAGGGATTGAGCCCTGGTTGGGCTGTGTGCAAGGCAAGTGATTTCTTAAAGGTCAACCATTCAAAGATGATTATTACCCCAGAGAGAAGGTCTGGCTCCAAGTCAGACTTGGCGGAATGGTTAAGCTATGGCTATCTTTTTTCCTGGAATCTCCTCACATCCCCAGCTCTGTGCTCCCGAGTCCTTGGCTAGTGTAGATTGAGGAAGCCCAGCCTGTGGGCTGAGGACCCAGCCAGACCGATGGAGATGGGTCAGGGACTGCAAGGCACTCCTGCTCACCTCCCTTCTCTCCTCAGATGCGGCATTCCAAACGGCCCCACTGCCCTGAGTGGGAGGGCCGGGAGAGCTGGGGCCACGGGAGCGGCAGCTGCAGCCACAAGCGGCGGCGGCGGTCCCACAGCAGCACGCAGGAGAGCAGGCGCTGCCGCGGCCCACGCCGATTTCGGGACTCGGATTGGTAAATGCCTCTGGCCCTTGTGGAGGGGGAGTGCGTGCATGCATGCGTGCGTGTGTTGGTAAATGCCTCTGCCCCTGGGTGCTGTGTGTATATGTGTGCACGGCTCTCTTGGCCACTGCTCACTGGTGGGCCAGCATCTGTGGGGGGTCACAGTACCACACAGGTCTTGTTGCCTGGCACCCTGGGGTACAGGGCAGAGGTGGAGAAGGGGTTTGTGTCTCAGCTGCAGTCTGCTATTCGGGGGAGACTATTGGGGTGCTGGCTCCTTTTGTGCCCACAGATGATCAGGAACTAGGGGGCGCAGGGTTCTTCTGGGGGAGAATTTCCCCAGAGCTCTATTGAGAGGGTATGAACTCAAAGTGGAGCCCCTCAGGAGCCTCTTGTTCTACACGTGCAGATTATATTTGGAGACAGCCTGGATGGGGGAGTCCCAGGCCAGCCTTGTCCAGACTGTCAAGCTGGTCACTTGTGTCCTCACTGGCCCCAAGGGAGCCGTGTAGTGGCTGGGGACAGAGTGACTGGGAAAAGTTCATGGGGGGCTCCTTCCTTTTTCCTTTCACATGACTGCCTCATTAGTTTTGTCCCTTTGGGTCTCTCCCTGGTGGGCATAGATGTGCTTCTCTGCATGCTAGCAGGTCCATTTTCCTTTTTCCACACCAGGCAGTGAGCTAGTGGGTGCCGGTGGTTCACCCCCTTCACAGCCTTAGCTCCCTGGGGTCCCATACCATGGAGCTCATGACTGCCCGTGAGCAGCCTTGCACCCCCAGGTGTGCTCTGCTCCCCAGGCTTTTCTGCATTTGGGCAAAGAAAGGGGGTGGCTGAGGGATGGATGTCCAGGGCCTTCTTTACTTCTTCTTTGCTGTGGTCCTGGGGTGGGCCAGCAAGTTACCAGGTTGGGTGGCTGCACCTGAAACTTCAGTATCAAGGCTGTCATCTGCCATGTCCGGGCCAGTGCAGCTGACCTGTGCCACACCTTGTGCCCAAAAGTGGATTCTAAGAAGGGCCGTTTCCTGGGTCAGCCCGACTGGGTTCTGGCTCATAGCCCCCATGTGTCTACTGGGGTATCCCCCACCTGCAGTGAGCTCCACCCTTTCCTTCCCATCACTTGGTGTCTGGAATGGCCAGGGTTGGGTTTCTGTCTGCACTTGGCTTTCGGAGTGAGTTTTTGTTTGTCGTCGTGCTTTTTGTACTCTGTTGCTTCTTTCTCCTTCCCTTTTTAGTTTTTGTGATATTTATTTGGGGGGCAGTGCTGAAAATGGAGCCCAGGGCCTCACACATGCAGGGCTTGCTTGTTTATTATTTTAATTTTTGTTTTATTTTTAATAGGGACCTCCCCTGCCAGCCTTGGGACCCTGGAAGTGGCTATTTGTGATGTTTTGCCTGGTGCTGGGATGGGCCTTGGGGTTCTGTCTCCGCCCTGCACATGCAGTGAGCCTCTCTCTCCCTGGCTTTTGTATTCTTGTGCTGGTCTGGAGCCATGCTCAGCAGTGCTCAGCATTGAGCTGACTTGGCTGTGTGCTGCAAGGCAAGCACCCTATCTGTCTTATCTCTCTGGCCCATGTTTCTTTTTTGTTTTGTTGTTTTTACTAATTTTATAGAAGCTTTGATGTTTGTGTATGTGATTTTTTTTTTGTTTGTTTTTAACTGTTTTCTAGTACTCCAAAGTTGTACCTCTTGCTGCAAACCTGATACTGCAAAATATATTAGAATGTATCAGGAAGCCTGATAAGTCTAGCTTCCACACGGTGCAGAGAGCTGATACAGTGGGGAAGATGCTTGCTTTGCACATGCCTGTCCTAGGTTTGTGTCCCCAGCACCCCATAGGGTTCCCTGAGCATGGCCAGGTATATCCTTAAAACCAGAAGACTTGCCCTTTCCCTTGGGACCATGATACCTAATTGTCAACCATCACTGAGTCTTAGCCCTTGTGTTACTAGTGAACTCTGGGAGGTGTATAAAATGTAGACATTTTTGTGAAATGTGGGACCCTGGGCTTCAGACATGGGGAGCCATGTGCTCTCCAGCCCTGCCACAGCCCCTACCACCATTACTGAGCTGAGATTCTATGAATTTGATCTGGGGCACAGAGTCTCAGAGTCTTACTTTCTTCAGAATTCCAGGTTTTGGTATCAGCCCATCCTTTGAGAAGCTGTGTGCCTTAGTTTAGCATTCTGGTTTCATTAGAGCGGGGTGGGAGGCCACCTAGAAACCTTTGGGTTGGGGGTGACCTAGCAGTACCAGGGATGGAACCTGGGCCTCCTGTATGCAGCCTGTGATGGGCCCCTTGATCTCTCAGAAGCTCTGGGTGATCTGCTCGTGGTTTGTTGGACTGTGGTCCCTGTGTGCCCTGGACCTTGGGCTGGAATGGTTGTCGTCCCATTCTGGGGGCTCCGTCCTGATTTCTCCGCCCACAGACATGCCTGTAAATGAGAAATGCCGAGATAGGCCTCTCTACCTTGGAACTTCTATGTTGCCTCCCTCCTGATTTCCTTGTATAGACCAGCACCTTCCCTCTTTCAGTCTCCACTGCTCCCCCCACACACACACCACACCACCACCACTGGAAACTTGTTGGGGGCCCAGTGGGTGGGGGTTCCTGGTGTATGAGCAAGCCTAGGCATGGCATTGCCGCTGGGTTTTTGGTCACTCTTGACTAATCTTGGGTTGCTCGCGATTTGTTGGAGGAATCTTGCCTTATGTGTTTCTTTATCTTCCACAGGGCTCGTGTGGAAATAGAAATGCAAGACCATGCTCTCATTAGTCTTGGCTCTTTTGAAAGGACTCCAGTGAAATATTCACTGCCCCAGCAGTGAATATTTCCAGACATTCAATCTGCCTATCCCTCCTGCCCATTATGTCCACGACCTCTAGCTCTTCAGCCTCGTTCCCCGTCTCTCTGGGGCTGATGCAGACTGAGGAGGGGCTCTCATTTATTTAGTGTGTCCTCATGGAGTCACCCCATGTTTATTGCTTGTGGGTATCTGGAGCTCTGACTGCACCCCTATCCCACTTCCTCAGTTAGTATTTGTGCCATAGAGTGGTGTAGGCTTGGCCGGCAAGGCTGCTCAGTAGGAGGGTTCCAGAGACTTCTGGGAGTAGGGCAGGGGCCAGGTCTGCCTGACGCAGGCCCACTACTCTCTACCCGCCTCAAACTCCCTGGATGTGGGTTGGCTCTTCAGTATGAGAACTGCAGCCTGGCACTCTGTCCTATATCTGCCCGGGCCCAGCGTGTCTGCTGGGGTTGGCCTCAGCCAGCCCTAGGCTTCAAGGACCATCCGTCCTGGGGGTGGGGGTGAGGGGCTGGCCATGGCCAACTGGTGGCCACCTGTCAGGCCATTGCTTGCAGGATACTGGGAGCCATGGTCTGACTGGGCAGGTGTCCCCTCTCTCCCTCAGTGCTCCCCGTGCGTCCCTCTCGAAGCTTCGCGCTCTGTCGAAGAGGACATGCCTCCCAGGTAGAAAGGGGGCGGGGGAGCTGGGCCCCTTGAATCAGTGTCCTTGGCACAGACTAGGGCTGCAGCTCCAGGCTGCCTGACCAAGTGCCGTGCTTGTTACCCAGGTCTTGTGTCTGTTCAGAGAGGCTGGTGTTCTGCCACCTTCCGTGCAGGAACAGTGGAAGTCTGCCTGCCTTTTGGGACTGTAGGCAGGTTGAGTGCTTGGTATTTGTACTGGGGTGAAGATGCTGCCTTACCTGCGGCTGACCCTGTCTATCCCTAGCACTGGGGGTGCACCTCTCAGCACTGCTGGGTGTGGCCCACTTACCCACCCACCCTGTTCTCCAAACAACAAAATTTAGACCTTGATGTGGATATTTGAATGTACCGTCCTGACCTGCCCATTGTTTCTAGAACTCTCAGCACTCAAACAGGAAGGGGCTGGAAGTGCATTCCAGGGGCCTTCTAGATGGAGAAAGCCTCTCATCCACCAGTTCTCTCTGGGCCAGGAATAGCTCAGCTCAGTCGTGCAAAGAGAAAGGGGTTCTGTTTTCCCTGCCTCAGATTCCTGGGCCTCTCGGGTCTGGGAATGCAGTGCCGAGGAGTGGGCCAGTATTCTTTCTAACTATTCTCCAGAAGGTGCAGGGGCACTGGAGACACTGGTGATGGGCTAGGCACAGGCTGCGATCTTGGGGGAACAGGTTTGACAGCAGGCTTCCTGATGGAGATGTAGGGCCTGTGGGTGGGTTGGTTCACGTGAGCCTGGGCACCGTTGGTGAAGTGTCTCTTGGTCCCAGGTCATCGGTAGGAATCAGTCTCCAAGTTAGCTGTTCAGATGGGGAAGTTGGGGCTATTTTGTTGGCACTTCTGCCCTAGAGACCCTGAGGTTGACCTGTACTCCTCCTGTGTGTTTGCAGTCATTATTTCGAAGCCCGCGCCCTGCACAAGCGTGATTACCGGGACCGAAGATATGTGGATGAGTACAGGCATGAGTTCTGTGAAGGCTATGTCCCTAGGCTGTACCCTCGTGACGCGGCGCCCAGCGCTTATCGGCTCCACAGCAGCAAGTCCTCGGTCCGCAGCCGGCGCAGCAGCCCTAGAAGGAGGCACCCCCAGCAGTGCTCAGCACGCCCCTCCTACTCGGTACGATTGCCTTTGGTTTCTCTCCGGGTGGCACTTAGCTTATGAGGACAAAGCTACTACTGAGCTGATAGGCTTGGGAAAGTTTAGTCTGTAGCTGGACAGAAGGGCTTGACTCCTTAAAAGGAAGTTCTAGACGTTCCTAGTTGGTCCATATTGTATTAGCTGGCCCTCATTGGCCCACAGGGATTCCCTTTTCACAGGCCAGATTCTGCTTAAAATAATAAAGCAAATTTTTGTAATTTTTGTTGTTCTGGTCTTATGGAAAAATTTAGCCACCCATCTTAAGCATTTTTATTATTGTTGCTATTATTAACTTTAAGAAAGAAATTCTATTCCTGATAGCAGGAAACAGATGCAGAGTCACCTTGATGGGGGCATGACTGTGACCGGGCTCTGTGGTCTTATAGCAGGGTCATCCGTGTCTCCTGCTAGATAAAGTAAAAGTCCGGAAAATGGGTGCTAAATGGGGAATGGACCCTTAATCATTGTCCCCTGCTTACCAGTAAATGTTGGATGATTGTTTTTCTCCCCAAGTGTATTTTTTTCCCCAGTAGAAGTAGCTTAAACATCGACGTGAGCTAGCCTTCTCCCCCTCCCCCTTTAATTATAATGGTCTCATTTAAAGTATTGATAAATAACAAAACTTTGACCCCTGAAAACCATTTTTCGGACAAACTGGTCATCCCACTTCCCAGCATACTCTTATTAGAGCGAGAGATTGATTAGAGCGTTCCTTAAATTGCATTCCTTAAATTTCAGACTTCAATTAAATCAGTATTTTAGAGAAACAATTGTGTTGTTTTTTTCTATTGCCACTTGAAGTATCTTATCTGAAAATCTGTTCCTTGCCATGTTTTTCTTCTGTAACATAAACTGTGCCCTGTGAATTTCTGGGGACTGAATTTGAAATTGCTCCTGCCAACTGTCCGTGGCCTGGTGCTTATCTGAATGCCTGAATATCTCCCCGCTGAATGAATTGCGTATTCTGCCCTGAATTCACTCTGATATATTGATTGGCTGGACGATCTTGGTGCTGCCCACTTGCCGGTTCCAGAAGAGCCACCGAAGGAAAAGATCCAGGAGTATAGAGGATGATGAGGAGGGCCATCTGGTGTGTCAAAGTGGAGACGTTCTGAGAGCAAGATGTATAGACTATTTTTCAACACTTTTTAAACTTCGCAGACAGAATAATCTTTTTAAGCATAGTTGGTCAGCGGGGGGCTAATGAACTCTTCATTGCTTTGTTTTGTTTTGTTTTATTGTGGGTTGGTTTGTTATTCTTTTGAATTTCTTCTTTTCTGTAGAATTTAAATATTGCTCAAGTTCCAAGATTTAAGAAAAAAATCAGTGGAATTGGAGCTTAGAGCCAGCAAGCTAGCTCAATCTAATTGTCATAGCCGCTGAACATAAAATAATTTTGAGTGCTGAAAATCTTAGTTACGCTTTGACTAGCGATCATTTGAGAGACTATTCCACATTTAAAGTACTGATTGTTTGAGCCAACCAGTGATCCACCGCTGGTGCTCACTCCGCTCTCTCCCCTCCCTTTAGATGAAATCGTGGACACACTGGGTGAAGGCGCTTTTGGCAAAGTTGTAGAGTGCATAGACCACGGCATGTGAGTTTGGTGGTGTGGGGTGGGGGTGGGACAGGTCCATTTTTCAGAATCTTTTTATTGGGGAAAGATCTATAGTTTGAATGAAAAGGCATGTTAAGTGATAATGAGTGTTTTTAATGGGTGGTATGGATGTTCAAAACTTGGCAAATTATGGATTTTTTTTCCTACCATGATTGTGGATTTTATTTGTTCTTGAACTAATTTGGGGTTTGTTACTCAAGGGCATCTTGTGGTATTTCTCAGGAAACTATAGGTGGTACGGGAACCCAGGGTTCACCAAATCAAGTGCCTCTCAGGGCCTTGAGCCCCTCTCTGGCTCCTTGATGGTGGGGTTTTGATCAGGAATGCTGATAAAGGGTCTCAACTGGGATTCCTTGACATTAAAGCCAGTCTTCAGGTGACCCTTCCCAGCACCTAGACCCTTAGCTTTCCAGAAGAGATTTGGGGGCTTTGCTTTGGCCTTATAGGGCCAAAGAAGCACACAGAAGTTCATAGACTGTTTCTGGGACCAGAGAGTGTCCATGGGTTAAGGCACCCAGCACCACCTAGGGTTCCCTGAGCAGCACCAGGAGTGATGTAGCTCAGTGGTCAAGGATGTTCCTCACATGTGTGAGACTTGGATTTGATCCTTAGCACTCCCCAGAAAGAAAGGGGGATGGTGGGGGTGGGGGAGATAGATAAATGGAGAGTCGTGAACACATCAAAATTCCTAGTCACTGCCAGAATCATCGCGCCCTCAGAACTCAGAATGTTTGAGAAGATGGTACTTGACTAAGAAAGAATGTTGACAGATTGTTGTAGAAAACAATCTTTTTTTTTAATAGTTTCAATTGATGATGTTTTTGAACCATGGTTCCCGCCTGATGAGGCATCTGTGACGGTTCTCACCTTGATTTTGTGCCACAGGGACGGTATGCACGTAGCCGTGAAAATTGTAAAAAATGTTGGTCGGTACCGTGAAGCTGCTCGGTCCGAAATCCAAGTGTTGGAGCACTTAAATAGCACTGACCCAAATAGTGTCTTGTAAGTACTGGCAGGAGCTTGTGTGGGTCCCCCCCACCTCACCCTGCCCCACCCCGCCCCAGGGCCTGGGAGTGACAGTCCTCCTGCCTGTTTGCAGTCGCTGTGTACAAATGCTGGAGTGGTTCGACCATCATGGCCACGTGTGCATAGTGTTTGAGCTGCTGGGGCTCAGCACCTACGATTTCATTAAAGAGAACAGCTTCCTGCCCTTCCAGATTGACCACATCCGACAGATGGCCTACCAGATCTGCCAGTCCATCAACTGTAAGTATCTTTTGCTCACTCAGCATGGCACAGTGTTGCTCACTGAGCAGGCACGTTCCAGGTAACCAGGGGCCCCTCCTGGCCCCGCCCTGACCCACCTCCCTTCCCCAGGGCACATGAATTGAGCTCCAGCTAAACTCGCCCTGCTCTGCTCTCTTTAGTCCTCCACCACAACAAACTCACACACACGGATCTGAAGCCCGAGAACATCCTATTTGTCAAGTCCGACTATATCGTCAAATATAACTCCAAGATGGTGAGTCACCGGGGACGGGCACAGTGAGGCCCCAGGGTGGTGTGTTGGGTGCCGTGAGAGCTGAGCGGGAGAGACCGGCCTGGGCCGTATGAAAGCTCTCCTTGCACCACTGAGCTTCCTGTGACTGTGTTGTCTCCAGAAGCGCGATGAGCGCACGCTCAAGAACACCGACATCAAAGTGGTGGACTTCGGAAGTGCCACCTACGACGATGAGCATCACAGCACCTTAGTGTCTACTCGGCACTATCGCGCGCCGGAGGTCATTCTGGGTTAGTAGCCACAGGCCAGGAGACTGGTGCAGTACATGGGAAACACTGACTCCGGGAAAACTATCCATGGACACTCAGAGAAAACTGTGGGGCTGCAGGGAGAACCCAGGAGGGAATGTGCCTGCCTGGCACATGGCTGACCCGGGTCCATCCCCAGCATCACATAGGGTCCCCCAAGTTCTAGCACCGAGCCCTGGGAACCACTGGGTGTGTCCCCAAAACTCAAGTGATGAAAGCCTTGTTGAAACTAGTAGGCAGTGGTGAAAACTGCTCGGTTAGCCAGCAGTGAGAGTCGCTTGGGATGAGGCTCAGAGTTGGGGGAACTGGCCTGGTTCGTGTGGATGTGGGGGCAGTCCTGAGAAGAAGGTAGGTGTGGCTGCAGATTTCTTGCTGGCCTTGGCATGAGGGGCAGAGTGTGGGGAGCCCGTGTGCAGAGGGTGGAGACAGGAGGGAACTGAGTCGTCTTGAAGCTTGCGGGTACCAGGATACAGCTGAGTGGGCCAAGGAGATTCTGAGTGAGAGTTGATCCTTGGGCTGGGGAGAGGGGAGGCGTCAGGGGGCGACTAGGAATTTTCCATACTGTGCTCCTCACGCTCTACATGGTCAGTACCTAAAATGTGATAGTTGTGGCCAAAGAGTGAGTGAGCCTTAAGTTGCTATTCCAGTATTTAATGAATAAAATCTTGTTTTCTATGACTGGCAGCTTTGACAAGTGGTCACTTGCAGTGCCTGGCAAGGACTTTTCTGCATGGTCCCTCAGGGACCCTGTGGGGCCAGGGCTTGGCCTTGAGGCTCCTGCATGTACAGCCTGTGCTCCGGGCCTTGGAGCGTCTTCCCTGCTGGAGTGATGGAGTGTGTGTGTGTGGAGGTCAGAGAATATGTCTGGAGAGGAGGAATAGCAGAGTGTTGTCTTGGCTACGGGGAAGGAGCCTCCAGGCTGGGTGCCCCTGAGAAGGGAGTTGGGGTGCTCGTGGTAGAAATCCAATGTACTGATGTGTGTCTCAGTCAAAACATTATCTTAAGTTGATTGGATCCCCCTCGAGGTTATTCCTGGTGGTGCCAAGGTTTACTCCTTGCTCTGCACTCTGGATCACACCTGGCAGTCCTGTGGTACCATATGGGATGCCAGGGATGGAACTCGGGTCGGCCCTGAGCCAGACAAGCATCCTCACTGCTGTACTATCTCAGTAGCCCCAGATTTGGCTTAATTTTTACATGGTGCTTGTCAGCTGGTCTCAGGAGTGAAGCCTCCATGTGACATGTGGTGCTTTCCTTTCTTCACAGGTGTGTGGGCTGAGAGAGCTTAGAGAAAGGATGTCAGGGCATTCATTCAGTGCACACCAATCTGTTCCCTCCAGCTTTCTCTCTTCTGCACGTGGGGAAGTGACTCCAGAGTCACTTGTTAAAATTTGGGCTCGAGAGAGTGGGAGGGATAATTCCCTGGCACTGCAGAGGGCTATAGGGTGTGGCCCCCAAACAAAAGAAAAGCCCCACAGAACCTCAGAAACATGAGTCTGGGTGTCATAGCTCCCAGATGTGCCGAGTAGTTGTGTTAGGAAACCTGAGTGATGGGTTGTCAGCTCTGCACCATCCTCTCGGATTCCAGTGACAGCGTGTTTCTTGTCTCGGCACAGCCCTTGGTTGGTCACAGCCATGTGACGTATGGAGCATCGGGTGCATCCTCATCGAGTACTACCTCGGCTTCACGGTCTTCCAGGTATGCCCCACACTCAGTGTGGTTCAGGGACTACCCTACCTTTGTTCCTGTGCCTGGTCCTCTCTCCGGTCCCATTCCTGGCCTTTGTGGAGGCAGAAGAAGGGGGAAGAAGAAGGCGCTTCCTATCCACTTGGCTGCCTCTTACACTCCTGTAGAACTTTCTGATAGTTTTCATGTGGGGACTTGCCAGAGGAGGACTGGTTGTAGGGGCTTAGGAGATCTGGCTTGTACCCTTGAGGTTAGTGGAAAGTTCTGTAGTGTGGTCTGGGGTGTGGGGTGCCTTGAGATGGAAACACTTCAGGGGCTTTCAGATGGCAGCACTTGTTGCTGTGAGGCCCTGGCATCTTTCTGCTCCCTGGGCCTGTGGCAGTACTCATGGGATCCAGGCAGGAAGCTTCGTGCTGCACCACTTGCCTTGACAGCCAAGGTCTCTGGTTCTAGTCCACAGCACTGCCCGAAAGATCCTTCCAAATAGTTGGGGTCACTAAGTGGTCTGCTCTGCTCGTAGACCTACAGGAACCCCCTTCCAACTTACCTCACATCCCATCCCCCCAACTCACCCTGTTCTGGGAGGTGGTGGGGTATGTGGTCCCACACATCAGTGACTTGGAGTTACAAGGGGTGCCTGGTGTTGCTGCCTCCTCAGGAGGCAAAGAGGCATGCAGGAGATGGGGTCCGAGTGTTCTTGACATTTGACATCTGACACCCCCACCTCCAAAGTCTCCAGGTCTGGGGACCTTTTTGCAGACTCTGCAGCCAGTTTTGTACCCCCTCCCCCCCCACACACACACACACATCTGCTGCTGGGGGACCCCGTCAAGGCTCTGATTCACCTCAAAGCTCAGCTCTCATGGACCAAACGACCTGTTTGGGGCTTGGGAACATGTTCCCATGGCCTGGCCAGCAGCGCTGTGTATATCATCTAGTCTGGGCCACATATGACATGACGGAGACCAGTCTTCCCTCAGTTTCAATGGCAGGAAGTAAAAATAGGAAGCATTTCCTTTTTGGTGGGGTCATACTTGGGTGGTCTGGGCCCAGGTGCTGAGAGTTCTTGTGTCAGCGGTGTGGAAGGCAAGTGCCTGAGTATTTTATTTTGGGACCACACTTGGTGGTGCTCAGGGCTCACTCCTAGATCTGCACTCTTCACTCTTTGTGGTGCTCAGGGAACCATACTGGGTTCCAGGAGTCAATCCAGGTCAGCTATGTGCAAGGCGCCTGCCCTACCTACCAAACTAGTGTTCCAGCCTGAGCTGTTGATTCTTCCAGTCAGTTTGCATCATCTGCTCTAAGGAATCTACTGAGCTGTCTCTGACCTTGTAATCAAGACAGAGATCGTGGCACTTGCCTTGTATGTGGTTGACCCCGGACTCCCACACCCTGTCAGGAGTCAGCCCTGGGTGCTGCCAGGTGTGGCCCCAAACAGACCAATATACTGGGCTTGAACTGCAGAGCCGCTAAGCCTGGTTCCCATTAGAAAGAGGGTCAAGGGAATGTGGCTGCATCCTCTTGACTTTTCTCCCAGTGCCCCATTTCCCTGGACTGTGTGTCTGGGGGAGGGGTGCCACAGCTCTCTCCCCTCTCCTTTCCCAGACTCATGACAGTAAGGAGCACCTGGCAATGATGGAGCGGATACTAGGGCCCATACCGCCCCATATGATTCAGAAAACAAGGTATGAATATCTGTGGGGTGGGGGTGGCGTCGATCGGGCCCCCAGTGTGGACTTGTAGTCACTGAACCATCACCCTAGCCTCCAATTTTAGGATTTTAGGGCGCTTGTGGAAACTTACAATAAAACCCAGCTTAGTTGGTCTTGCTTTTTCTCCTGACTCCCATTTTTTTGTCTGTTTCCCTTTTTACCTTTGTGAGTCTTTGGAGCAGCAGTGTAGTGCTTGCCAGGGATCCTGTCAGCAAAGGGGGGTTTTCACAAGAAGCTTCAGCACAACTGCCCTGTGTGGATATGGAGCACTGCATAGACCCGGAAAGGGAGTTCTGAATCAGACTCTCTGGGGCCCAGTTTGCTGCTGCTGACTGGCTGCATTGTGTGCACGGCTGCCCTGCTGGATTTTCAGCTTAGCAATGGGCATTCCTGGCTACTGAGATCTGGCCCTTTCAGGAGCAGCTCCTGGAGTCAGGAGAAGTGGGGTACAAGGGAGGCAGGACGAGGCAACCTTGGGGTGCAAGATGAGGAGAGTGTCATGGAACACGAGTCTCACCCTTGAGCCACCGCACCCCGGTGGGCTGGCAGAAATGCTTGGACATCTGCCACATATTGGGGTGGCTGAATGGGCTCCCCCTGACCTCTCCTCCTCCATAGAAAACGCAAGTACTTCCACCGCAACCAGCTCGACTGGGATGAGCACAGCTCCGCCGGCCGCTATGTCCGCAGGCGCTGTAAGCCACTGAAGGTAACAGGGCTGGGGAGTCGGGGTACTGCAGAGGCCGCTGGCCATTGACATGCATTCCTCAGCAAAATGCCTCTGGTCACAGGAGTTCATGCTGAGCCACGATGAGGAGCATGAGAAGCTGTTTGACCTGGTCCGCAGGATGCTGGAGTACGACCCGGTACAGAGGATCACCTTGGATGAAGCCCTGCGGCATCCTTTCTTTGACCTGCTGAACAAGAGATGAGACGTTAAAGCCAGATGAAAGACTGTTGGTCGGTTGGCCGGCGTCCAAACATTCTCTTATTTTTGTAAACAGTAAATTATTTTGTACAGGCACGTGTATATACTGTATGTTTTGTATCAATAGTCTCAATTTTCTTGTTTATAAACAAGTCTGGTCTTGCTGATGAAGCCTAAACTGAAGCTTTTCTCTTCAGGAGCCGTTTTTTTCAAGGCCTTTGTTGCAGCATCCTGTCCTCAAATGTGATTGCTTGAGCTTGGCTTTTGTACCTGGAAGTTGATTCTTGAAAAGGATTGTTTTTTTGGGTTTTGGTTTTTCTTTTTTTTTTCTTTCTTTTTTTTTTTTTTTAGTAAAAGGAAACCTTGGCAACTCGATTCTTGGGTGAATATTCTTTACATGTCTTGTATTCCAAACTTCCCTGGGCTGTACACATTGAACCAGGTAGCCAGTGCATCATTAACTGAGGCGGTATTAGGAACCAAACCCATGGAAAAATGCTCATTGTGTTAGAATTTTGTTGCACTAGAAGGATTATGTCTGGTGTCTTTGGGTTACTGTTAATGGTGACCAGTCAGGCATGGAAAGACACCTCTGTTTCCATAGTGATGGGCTGTTTTTTTTGGGGGCACCACACCTGTTCAAGACTGAGTCCTGACGTGTTGAAGGGTCACTCCTGATACTACTTAGGGTGTAGGGACGACCCTGTGTGGTGCCAGGGATTGAACTGGGTTCTGCTGCATTCAAGGCCAGTGCCTTCATCCCCAGCCTCCCTCTCTGCTCCGAGGCAGTTTATTAAAGGCACATATATCTCTGGAGTATAAAAAAAGTAGTTTCTTTTTGGGCCATACCCAGCACTGCTGGTGGGCCACATTTGTCAGACCCAGGAGCTAAGATGAAAAATCTCAATTGCGGGTCTTCCTGACATTGTGTTTTCTTCGACTGTTGGTGGAGAGAGTCAGCCTGGGAAAGCGGTCCAGTCCTTAAACTTGACTCTACTGCCAAGTCTTGAGTCTAACATGTTTCTCATGGCTTGACACTCAGCTGAGAATTCAGGTTCAATAAGGAATTTATTTTTGAATGAGATCATTACTAATTTAGGACAAAAGCTTGAGAAGATTCCAGACTCTCATTGTGGTTGAAATGAACTTCTTGCCTGCATAGGAATTGTTTTTTTTTGTTTCTTTTTATTTTCGTTTTGGGGGCCACAGCCAGCGGTGCACAGGGACCACTCCTGGTGGTGCTGGGTGGACTATGTAGTCTGCTAAGAGCACAGCAGATCCTACATGCTGTAATACCGCTCCAAGCCTGGTTTTTAATTTTTATTTACTGAGATTAATGTACCATTTTCTTTGGGGGGTGGGATGTGCTTGAGTCATACCCAGCAGTGCTTGGGGCTATTTGTGATTGTTTATTCAGGGACTATTCCTAGTTCTGCTCAGAAGCACCTCATGATGCTCTGGGAGCCCTCTGTGGATCTGGGTTTGAACTAACTCCCCATTGTTCCCACCGCAGCCCCATGGAAGGCAAGTGCTTTCTGTCCTTTGTCTGACCCATTTTTTATTTTATAAAGACAACTCACAAACAAAAAGTAAAAGGTGAAGCAAGCCTTACGAATCTGCTTATCAGCCGTGCTGGTGTGGGGGCATGTTGACATCTGCTCTTCTGTTTTAGGGCGTGCCCTGCCAAGTGACCCTGTGCTTTGTTTAGCTGCTCCTAGTTTCCCATTGGGCTGGAGACATAGCACAGCGGGTGGAGCGTTTGCCTTGCATGTGGCCAACCCGGGTTCGATTCCTCCATCCCTCTCGGAGAGCCCGAGCTACCGAGAGTATCCCACCTGCATGGCAGAGCCTGGCAAGCTCCCCGTGGTGTATTCGATATGCCAAAAACTAACAAGTCTCACAATGGAGACGTTACTGGTGCCCGCTGGAGCAAATCGATGAACAACAGGAGGACAGTGATACAGTGCTACAGTTTCCCATTAGAAAGTACATTATAATTGTCTACATCATTTAGTTTAAAAAAGAAAAAAAGCCCACTTTTGCTGTTGTCTGATGGGCAGCAGGTTGTGGAGGTTGGATGTAGCCCCGTCCAGCAGGCCTGAAATCCTCACAGCATTGGCACTGGCTGGCTTCCAGCCTGTTCTCACTGGCTGAGATACTGCGGGTGTGGACAAGACTGTGAGGACACGAAGGCACAGTACAGTCCTGACAGCAGTGACTGGGCTCAGACGTCCACACCAGGACACCCGAGGCTACCAGGGCTCAAGTCTGGTGTGTTTGCTTGCTTTGAATGTTTTAGTTTTTGGGCCACACCCAGTGATGCTCAGGACATACTCCTGAGTCTGTGTTCAGGGATCACTCCTGGTGGGCTTGGGACCATATGGGGTGCTGGGCATCAAACCTGGGTCTGCCACCACATGGGAGACACATTATTATCTCTTCAACCCCATGTGATATGTTGATATGTTTTCTTATCGGAGAACAGTGCTCAGGGATCACTCTTTGGGGGGCTTGGTGGGAGACCCTCTTGGGGCTCAAACCAGGGTCCACCGCGTGCAAAGCAAGCATCTTGCACCCCCGCAGTAACCCCTCAACCCGTTATTTCGGTCACCAAAGCTCACACACTTGATTGTTGCATTTGCTGGTTGTCCCCACCCTGTGAATTGTACCAGGGATTCCCCTAAAGGCAATACTGCCTGGACTTGTGTGGAGGCACTGGGGGATCAAATTCAGGCCTTGCGCCTGCACAGCAGACACTGCCTCAAGCTACCCCAGAGCCGTGATACATTGGCTGGGAGCAGGGGAGTCTGGGAGATTCCCACACTTGCTCCACACAGTCCTGTGATTTGCAGAAATCGGGCATCTGGGTATGCTGGGCTCCCTGCCACATCTTGGCACTGCATGGGCCCCTCACCTATGCTGCAACCCCTAGGACTGTATTTTCAGAGACAGGTCCCTGCTGAGACGTTGCAGACAGAAAAGGCCTATGAGGCTGGTCCTACCCAAATGGAGACACCCCCACCTGCTGCATACCCCACTCCAGACTCATTTGCACCAAGGAAGCCTGGAGGCGAGTGATTCGCCACCTAAACCCTGCCTTGCAGGGGACCAGAGCTGCTGCTTGTGCTTTCTGCTCTGCCTGGTTCTGGGTGTCGGGAGGCTGGATCTCTAGCCAATAAAAGAGCAGGTGAGACTAACCTTAATCTACCAAGTCCAAGAGCTCCCTGTGCTTAATCTTCCAAGTTCAGGTTTGGTGGAGCTCATGTCCCTTGTCCAAGGCCAGCTACTCGGGTGGCATGAGCTGGTTTATGGCCCCAGAGGGCACAAGATCCCACACAGCACCAGATAGCAGCCACACATGCCTCTTCAGCGTCACTTCCTGGTTCCCCTTAATTACCCCTTAAAGCCCCACACTTTTGTTTTTGTTTTTTTGGGTCACACCCGGCAATGCACAGGGGTTACTCCTGGCTCTGTACTCAGGAATTACCCCTGGCGGTGCTCAGGGGACCATATGGGATGCTGGGAATCGAACCCGGGTCGGCCGTGTGCAAGGCAAACACCCTACCCACTGTGCTATTGCTCCAACCCCAAAGCCCCACACTTTTGCCCTCCATTCCCCAAAGGCCACACAGAGCATGTTTGCTTCCCGCCTTCTCCAAGGAGATGGAGGCAGTGTTTTCCCCTTGAGTCACTCAACAAACACCGATCTCGCATTAGGCACCAGGCACTTTCCAACTTGGAGAGACGAAAAGAATCTGGTTCCTGAAGTGGTTTCCAGACAAGTCACTGGACCAGGCATGTGGCAGACCAGGGTCTGCTCCATGGCACCACATAAGACCTCCTAAACACTCCCAGGAATAGTCCTTTGGGTGGAGCCCATTGTCAGCCCTGAGCATCACTGACAGAGAGCAGCAAGTGCTTTGAGCCCTTGAGGAACCCAGATGGGGTGAGGGGTGTGTGTGTGTGTGTGTGTGTGTGTGTGTGTGGTGGGTGGGGGTGGGGTAGATCATTGTAGGCGTGCCAAGAAGGAAGATGTTTTAAGAAAGGGTTCGGGACCTGGGGATCTTTGGCCAGGAGGTGAGGAGGAGCTTATGGGGCAAAAATCTGCAAGTGGGAAATTCCAGGTGGCTGGTCTGGCCAAAGGTTAAAAGGAGTCTGTGGGCTTCAATGTATGGAAACTTCTGGAACATCTTGGAGATTAGAGTGGTGTACATGGTGCTGATGGCAAATTACCTTGTGTTGATAAAGGGAAAGTGCTCACTTGTTTACATTTTTTGGGTGGGGGGTGTTGGGCCAGCCAGTGGGTCTCAGAGTTTACTCCTAGCTGGGCTTGAGGCGCAGTACGTAGTGCAGGGCAGCCGACCCTATGGGCCACATGCCAGGCAAGGGCCTTAGCTGCTGCCCTTCACTCCAAGCTCCATGTACTTGTTGACCTCTCTCCAGAGGAGATAAACTAGCCAAATCAGCACAGTGAACTCTGGAAAACACACAGAGAACTGTACAGAGATTGTCTTTTCACACAGAATATCAATAACAGAACAGCAAGACCATGAAGGAGGCTGCAGGCTCAGGATGCAGAAGGCCAGACCTGGGTTTGGTTTAATCTCTGGCACCACAGGGGCTCTGGGGCGATGTGGGGAGTGAGCCCCGAGCAGCAACCTGGGAGAAAGCTCTTGGAAATTTTGGCTGTGCTGTTGCCTGCCCCCGCCCCATCAAAAAGAAAAAAGGAAAAAAGAAAAACCAATAAAGCGAGAGAACTGGGCTGTAAATACATTTTCTAAGCTTTTCTTTTGGGGTGAGGGGTTTGGGCCATACCTGGAGATGCTCAGGGGACTGTTCCTGGCTTTATGCCCAAGAGTGTTCCCCCGTGGTGGTCAGGATTGAAGTGGGGTGGGCCTGTGAAAGGCAGGTGCCTTTATTCCTGGATTATCTTGCCCTCTCTTGCTTTTCTTTTTATTAAAAAAAATGTTGGTTTTGTTCTTTTGAGTCATACCCAGAATGCTCAGGACTTAACCCCTGTCTCTGGGTTCAGTCATGGCAGTTTCTTGAGAAACTCTGGGGTACCAGGGGGGTTGAACCCAGTTCTGTCACGTGCAAGGCAAGCATCTATGCACTGTACTATTGCCTTAGCCCTAACTTCTTTTTTTGTTTGTTTTTTAGCTTTGTGGGTCACACCCGGCAATGCTCAGGGGTTACTTTTGGCTCTGCACTCAGTAATTCCTCCTGGCAATGTTCAGGTCACCATATGGGATACTGGGAATCGAACCCATGTTGGCCGCGTGCAAGGCAAACGTCCTACCCGCTATGCTATCACTCCAGCCTTATTTTATTTATTTATTTATTTTTGTTTTTTGGGTCACACCCAGCCGATGCACAGGGGTTACTCCTGGCTCTACACTTAGGAATTACTCCTGGCAGTGCTCTGGGAAACATATGTGATGTTGGGAATCGAACCCAGGTCGGTAGCGTGCAAGGCAAATGCACTACCCGTTGTGCTATGCTCCAGCCCCTTGTTCTTTTATTTTGGTGCCATACATAGCTGTGCTCTGGGCTGACTCCTGGCTCTGAAATCAGAGATCATTTCTGGCAATGCTCAGAACTAAAACCCTGGCTTCACCTCAGGGGTCACTCCTGGCAGGGCTCAGGGAACCATATGTGGTGCCGGGAATCAAACCTGGGTCAGCCGCATGAAAGACAAGCGCCCTCCCAGTTGCCCTATCTCTTCCAATCTGCTTCCCACCCTTTTAAAAGAGTCTCTAGACCCAGGAAATAATAATCCAAAAACAGAAGAAAAGGGATGGAGAGAGTACAGAGATTAAGGTTTGCATGCAGCTGACCTGGGTTTGATCCCTGGCACCACATGGTCCCCCCAAGCAATTGCCAGCCAGGACTGAGCCCAGAGAGAGAGAGGGGTTAGCCCTGACTCAACCACCACCATCTCCCTCTTCTCCCCCCCCCCAAAAGTAAATAAAGGCCTTTTTGCTCAGGACAGTTGTGAGTTGACCCAAATCTTACAGATCAGAACAAGAAGGGTTCTGCCTTTCTCTGTTCTTGGACTTAGAAACTCCCCCTCTCTCCTGCTGGGGACCCACATTTCATAAATACACCTGGTGTGTGTGGGGTGACAGGACCTCTTGACTTCTGCAGGACATGGGACTTCACTCACTGGACTGTTATTCAGGCTGTTGCCAGTGTGGTATTTCCAGTGTGGCATTTACTGCAAAGTCCCAGTCCAGGTGAAAGGTGCTGCTTTCAAGAATCATTAGTTCTAGCCAAATTGTGTTTGACAGGAAGAAGCTCCTTGGGGCACAAAAGCTAAGAGGGGTATGGCACCTGCACTGCCTGCCACCAAGCTGGACTCAGTTCCAGTACCTCACAGCATCTCCAGAGCCCTGCCAAGAGTGAACCCTGAGCACAGAGCCAAGACCCAGCCCTGAGTACAGAACCAGGAGGTAGCCCAGCACAGAACGGGGAGCGAGGCCTGAACAAAGCCAGCAGTGAGCCCTGAGCACAGAGCCAGGAGAGAGTCCTGAGCACGGAGACAAGAACGATCCCTGAGCACTGAGTTGAGAGTGTCACCTGTAGCATGGCGGGGTATGACCCAACACTCCCAAATAATACATCCTAACTCTCCTTCCCGGCTGCCTCCCCCAGCCCCGCCCTCGTCCCCACGCGGACCACGCAGGGGAAGTCTTAGGCCAGCAGGTGGCGCTCGCGCGACATGGGGGACGCACCCGCCGAGCTGTCCCCAAGCGTTGGAAAAGTTTGCAAACTTTTTAATTTTTTTTAACCAGGGTCGCAGAGTCCCGGTTCGTTCACTCCAGCGGCGGGAGGGGGCTGCCCCGCGGGCCCTCCGGGGCTCGCCCTGGGCTCCGGGGGCGGGTGTGGCGGCAGCGCTGCACAGGGGGGCGGCTGGGGGTCGTGGGGGCGCGCGCACGTCGCCGCCCGGGGGCCGGGGCCGGCGGGGCCGCTCCTCCCCCGGAGGGTGGGTCCCCGCGCCTTTTCTGGGCAGGGAGATTTGCATAGAGGAAACTGCCCCCAAAGTGGCCGCAGTTGCCGGGAGCTGCGGCGACGGAGCAGCAAGGGGGTGGGGGCGAGTGCGGCTCCCGCTGCTGTCGCCGTTGCTTCTCGGAACACCGAGTGCCCGCCAGCCGGCCCGGGACCCCCGCCGGCCGACCCGCGACCCCCGCCAGCCGGCTCGGGACCCCCGCCAGCCGACCCGCGACCCCCGCCAGCCCGCGACCCCCGCCAGTCGGCCCGTGACCCCCGGCCGCCGCGAGCGCACCATGAGCCCCGGCGCGGCGCGGGCCGTTGCGCTGCCCGGAGCCCCCGGAGTGCCAGGCGCGGGGGGCGTCGGGGGGCGGCCGGCCTGGGCGCTGGGCGCGCTGTGCTTGCTGCTGTCGTCGGCGGCGGCCGCCGCGTGCCTGCGACTGGGCGTCCAGGCGGCCGCGCTGCAGCAGCGGGTGGCGGCGCTCGAGCAGGAGCTGCAGCTGCTGCCGCACCTGGAGCAGCTGGTGCGCGAGGTGAGGGGGCGCGGGGCGCGGGGGCGCCGGGGCTGGGGGACTGGAGGACCTCGAGGGGCGCGGAGGGGGCGTGCTGGGCGGTACTCAGGACTGACTCCGGGTCCGTGCTCAGGGCTGACTCCCGGCTCTGTGCTCAGGGCTCTCTCCTGTGTCTATGCTCAGGGTCACTCCCGGGGGGCGTCTGGGTGGCCCCATGGGATGTCGGGCGTCGAACCGGGGTCAGCCGCATCCACGGCAAGTCGCTTCCCCGCTGGACTGCCCTTCTGGGCTCACTGTACTTTTATTTCACCCCAGGGACGGGGACACGCCGGCTGTGCACCCAGGGTTCTCTCCCGGCGGCGGGTTGGGAGACCCTATGGGGTGCCGGGGTTGAACCCGGGGCGACCGCGTGCAAGGCCAGCGGCCTCCCCGCTAGCCTGTCCTACCCCTCTGTACGTTTTGAAACAGGGCTTCCCTCCTCCGGGCTCATTTCCTTTTGTTCCTGGGCTTGGGCCACATCTGGCTGTGCTCAGGGCTGACCCCGGCTCTGCTCTCGGGGGTCTCTGCCAGGGAACTCTGCACGGAGCTGGGATTGGACCCAGGGCAGCGCGTGAGTCGCCGGCGCCTTCCCCGCGGCCCGATCGGGGAGGAAAGCAGCATCCCAAGCTCTGCAGCCCCGAAGTTGCTGTAATTGATGCCGCATTCCGCCTGTCTGGCTTCAGATGGGGCAAAATTGCTGCTTCAGGAAGTGATTTCCGATTTCCCCCCCTGGAAAAGTGCCTGCAGGTTTGGGAAATCTCTGGGGAGTGCTGTGAGCAGTTGCGGTGTGTGTGGGGGGGCTTGTGCTTTCTGTGGGGACCCTCCCCCCTCCCCACTGGGGTTTCCTGTTGAGGGCTAGAGAAATGGTCCAGTTTCTACTATTCCTTTCATCTCTGGGGGGTTTTGTGTATTTGAGTTTGGGGTTTGGGGGCCACAAGTTAATGATACCTGGAGCTCTGTGCTCAGGGATCACTCCTCACTCTGTGCTCAGAACTGATTCCTAACTCTCCTGGGGCTGACTCTGGCTCAGGGGTCCTTGGAGTCAAAACTACTGTTGACTGTAAGGCAGGTGAGCACTCGAGCAGGCTCCTCCTGCGCTGTCCTGGCCTGTGGATCTCTCCCTCCTTACCTCTCTCTCTATCTCTGTCTGCCTGACTCTCTCTCTCTCTCTGTCTCTCTGTCTCTCTTTTGGGGGGTCATATCTGGTGTTTTACTCTGCCTCTTCCATCAGGAAGGTCACTCCCAGCGGACCCCATATGTGGTGCAGGGATGAAATCTGGGTGAGTCATGTGAAAGGTTAGCACCTACCAGCTGTCCTATCACTGCCTGTCTTTTGTGTGTGTGTGTGTGTGTGTGTGTGTGTGTGCGCGTGTGCGTGTGTGTGTGTGTGTGTGTGTGTGTGTGTATGCACGGGCGGGGGTGGAGGGTGACACCTGGCAATGTTCATGGCTTACTCCTGGCTCTGCACTTAGGAGGAATTCTCTGCACCCAGGAGTTAGTCCTGGTGGTACTCAGGGGACCGTACGGGATGCTGGGGATCGAACTGGGGTTGGCCAGGTGCAAGGCAAGCGCCCTCCCCGCTGTGCTGTTGCTCTGCCGCCTGCCTGTTCTCATAACTGGAGGACCTGCTTACTAAGTGTGTCTAAACTGCCAGCCACGATGGAGTCCCTGAGAAATTCTGGTAAAACCTTTTATGAGGAACTCAGAAATGCTGCCTGTTGGAGTTTGTTGGGGGCTTCTGGGAAAAACAGTCAGTGCTAAGAAATGTGATTTTTTTTTTCTTTCCTTGTTGGGGATTGAACCCCCCCCACCTCACCCTTGTGGCATATTTCACTGTCCCTCCCTCCCCTCTGCAGATTCCTTTCACTTATTTTTCCTAATTTTTATTTTTATTGTTGTTTAGGTCAAAGAGTTAACGAAGGTGTTAACATTTATGGTATTTTGGCTTTGTAGTTGGTTTGGGGACCACACCTAGCAGTGCTCAGGGCTCACTCCTGGCTCTGTACTCAGGGCTCGCTCCTGGTGAGGTCTTGGAGGACCCTTTGTAGGGTCAGGGATCAAACCCAGGTCAGCTGTGTGCAAGACAAGTTCTTTATTTCTCTCCAGCTCCAACTTTATTTATTTATTTATTATTAATTAATTAATTAAAAAATTTTTTTTTTGCGAACCTCATGAGTTTATCTCTGCTTACAGATGCCAAGTATTTCCTTAGGTCAACGGGCCACACTTTTTTTGTTTTGTTGTATTTTTTTTGTTTTGGCCACACCCAGCTGACTCAGGCACACTCCTGGTTCTATGCTCAAAGTTCATTCCTGGTAGTGATCGGTCAGATGCCGGGGATGGAACCCAGGTCTGCTGTGTGCTGTGTGCAAGACAAGCATCCTCCCCACTGTCCTATCGCTCCAGCCCCAAGGGGCCACAACTTCTCTATCCACAACACACAACTCAATGCCTAGGGGACCTCACAGTGCTGGGAGCCGAACCCAGGCTTCCTGCATGCACAGTCCCTGCTCAGGGGCTGGAGAGACAGGACCGGGGAAAAGGCACTTGCCTTGCTTGTGACTGACCCCACCTTGATTCCCGGCGTTGCATTGGGTCCCTTGAGCATCTCCAGGTGTGATTCCTGGGCCCGGAACCAGGAATCAGCCCGAAGGATGGCTGGGCATGGCCCAAAAACAAAAAAAGAAAAGAAAGAAGGAAGTGCTAAGCCTGTTGTGGTATTTCTCCAATCCTGAAATTTCATTCTTTTATTTTTTCTTTTAAGTTGTTCTCTTTTTTGGGGGTGGTTGGGTCACAAATGACAGTGGTCAGAGCTCAGGAGTATGTTGGGGCTTGAACCCTGGTCAGCCATATGCAAAGCAAACATCCATAAAATTTGATTCTTTTTTTTTTTTTTGCTTTGCTTTTTGGGCCACACCCAGCGATGCACAGGACTTACTCCTGGATTTGCACTCAGGAATTACTCCTGGCGGTGCTCAGGGGACTCTATGGGATGTTGAGAATTGAACCCGGGTTTACCGCATGCAAGGCAAATGCCCTACCTGCTGTACTATTGCTCCAGCCCGTAAAATTTGATTCTTAAGTCCTGAACAAAGTAGTGTTGCTGCTGCTGCTGCTGCTGCTTCTTCTTCTTCTTCTTCTTCTTCTTCTTCTTCTTCTCCTCCTCCTCCTCCTCCTCCTCTTCTTCCTCCTCTTCCTCCTCCTCCTCCTTCTCTTCCTCCTCCATCCTCCTCCTCGTTCTCTTCCTCCATCCTCCTCTTCCTCCTCCCTCCTCCTCCTTGTCCTCTTCCTCCTCCTCCTTCTTATTCCCCTTGTTTTTTGTTTGTTTGTTTGTTTGGGGGCCTCATATTACAGTATTCAGGGTTTTCTTCTGGCTCTGCTCTTAGGGTTCACTCCTGGGGAGCTCGGGGTACCCTATGGGGTGCGGGGGATCAAACCTAGGTCTGCAATGTGCAAGACAAGCACTTATGCACACTTCACTGTCTCTGGCCCCATCCCTCTGGCTCGTGATCAAAACTGGACCATTAACCCAGGGAGAGGATTCAGTGGTGGGTCACCAGCCTTGCCTATGGAACCTCAGATTTGATCCCTTTCGCCTAGCCCCTCCCCCAAAAAAAGTCAATAATATAAAATAATATAAAATAATAGAGGGCTGGAGAGAGAGTACAGCAAGTAAGGTGCCTGCTTAGCACGCAGCCCACCCAAGTTCGATCCCCAGCATCCCGTATGGTCTCCCGAGCACTGCCAGTTGTGATCCCTGAGCACAGAGCCAGAAGTAACCCCTGAGCATTGTCAGGTGTAGCTCAAAAACGAAACAAAACAAAAGAAAATAATAGAAACAGATCAGAGGAGAACATGCCAAGGTGCAGATAGAGTCTCAGTCTCTGGCTGAATATCCATATCCACGCAGCTTCCAGAAGCAGAGCAGCTAAAGAATGGCAAGAACCACATTCAGCAGTAGCCAAAGGCTGCATTTGACATCCAGCAAGAAAATAAAAATGGCTCCACACCTGGGGAGACCATCGCTGGGCAGGAAAACAGCCACGGAGCCTCCCTCCTATTCCCGGTCGGCTGTAATGAGAAGTGGAAGGAGCACGGCTGAAGGGGGGGGGCAGCCCCAGCAGGGTGGGCAAGACGGGGTGCCTCGGGCAGGACAGAGTGGGGAGCTGCTCAGGGAAGGGCTCACCTTGCACGTAGCCGGCCTCTGTTCCACTCCGGGCACTTTGGGCTTCTGGGAGCACCAAAGCAGAAGTCACCTCCAGTCCTGCCAGGTGAGGCCTGAAACACACACAGACACATGCAGACGTTCACATGCACAACATATAGAACACACTCAGACACACACATGCACAGACATGCACACACACACATGCACACACACATAGACACACTCAGACACAGACGCACATGCACACACACATAGACACATAGGCATAGACACAGTCAGACACAGACACACACAGACACACATGCACACACAGACACATAGGCTCAGACACACACACATGCACAGACACACACATGCCCAAGGAAAAAGCTTGGAATATACTATTTCAAAGTTGTTTTGGGTCTGGAGTGCTGAGGATTGTAGCTGCCGCTTATGGACCACCTTAAGATACTTCCTTCAGGGATGGAGAGCAGGTTAGCTGAGCACTATCAGGACTGTTCCTGAGTGCAGCGCCAGGAGTGACCCCTGAGCATTGCCAGCTGTGGCCTCCAAAATAGATATTTTCTTTACTTGGGGGCCACACATGACAGGGCTGGGGGCTACTCCCACTTCAGTGTTCAGTAATTTTCTTGTTGCTCCTGGTGGTGCTCAGGGGAGGATCGGGTGCTGAGGATCAAACTCAGGACCCACGTGCAAAACATATACTCCAGCCTGTTGGCCCTCTCTGGTCCCGAAGATATAAATACTATTTCTCTTTTGGGGGGAACCACACCCGGCAGTGCCCAGGGGTTACTCCTAGAGATGTTTGAGGGAC